TAAATTGTGAATCACAAAAAAAAAAAAAATTATAAATTGGGAATCACCTGATAGCATGGTAAATTGGGTATCACAAAAAATCAAGGTAAATTGGGAATAAAAATAATAACATGGTAAATTATGAATCACCTGAGATAGTATGTTAAATTGGGAATGAAATGATAGCATGGTAAATTGGGAATCACATGATAGCATAGTCAATTTGGAATCATTGGAATCACAATAAAAGTGCTAAATATAATGGTACTAGCCAGGGTTTTGCTGGTTTAGCTGCCAGTAAAGTGCAGTTTCTGGTACCACCCAGTTTGGACAAGTGGTGAAATGGTTAGAGCCCAGAAACCAAGACCTAACGTCTCCAACTGCCCCCCCCCCCCTTTTTTTTTCACGGATAAGGTATCAGAGTTTTGGAGCGAAATAATCACAGCCCCTTTCTGGATAATAGCTTAGATGGTTAGGGTGTAATAAACAAGGCCTAGCTTTTACTCCTCTCTGGGTAATGATTAGGGCCTTCCCAGGTCAACCCAGCCTCAAATGGGTAACAGATACAGTCCTGGGAAGTAAAGGTGGCTAGCAGGATGCTAACAACATCACCCACAGTGTGCTGATTGGTCTAACAATATAGTTGTAGCCCTATGTGCTCAGTATGCCTGCAGGTGGGGAAAAGGGTCCTTTACTTTACTTTCCCGGTTAGGGCCTAGTAATCAGGACCTAACTTCTTCCCTCTCTAGATAATGGGTTAGATGGCTAGAGCCTAGTGAACAAAGCCTACCTGACACCCACCTCCCCCTTGAGTTCTGGATTAGAGTCTAGAAAGGCCCTGCTGCCAAGAAACCATGCACTTTACAACACTGTCCCAGACATCCCAGACATACTAGCAGTAGGTCATATTTAAGATTTTATAGTTACAAGGACACAAACACCCGTTTCCTGCCTAACAGTACTCAGTGACAAGCCTGTTCCCTCGGTGACCAGCCAAAAGGATGAATTCCCGGTTGCTATGTACAGTCTGTCATCCAAGGATTATGGTGTTTGTGTGTTTTATTACTGATATCTGTCATGTATTTTTTGGTGTCAAATAATATCCTGTATGGAAGTGATGAATGACTGCAAAAACTGTAACAAGTCTGACCACACGGTTTACATTATATTATTGTTGTCATGGAACCTTCCTGTACATGGGGAAGACTTGTAAATGTCATTTAAGATTATTTATTTTATGAACATATCAAGTTTTCCTGTTCTGAACCCAGCACATAATCAATTTTTTATTTGACTTGTATCTACCTCTAAGCAGATACACAAAATGACTTTTGTGCAGATTTCTGTGGTAGCTTTTAGATATACAGAATATACTTTGTGTCTTCTTTTCTTCTGCCCTCACCTTAGAATACCAGGTGATATTTTGTGTTGTGGTTTACAGCTAGGCTGCAATTTCACAGCCTTTTGGGGAAACTCATTTGATTTCAGAAAGTCTTTTACTGAGATGCCACAGATTTATTTATTTCCTTGTGAATGCAAAGGTCAGCAAGTATTATATATATATATATATATCTTATGGAACAGTCACAGAACTGCCCTAAAGTAAACAAGCTTGTGTCATGTCAGAAGTCAAGTAAGTAAAGGACCTTTGTACGTCAGTGGTGGATCGCTCACTTAGTGCCCAATTTACATGTTTAAAGACCAGTCCGCACTCGATGGGTGATGTGGTCAATATCAACGTGGCCGCCTTTACTTCCCAGGACATTAACTGATACTAATTTAAGATTGGGTTGACCTGCGAGCCAAGGTCAGTTATGAAGACAAAATCCACCTCGATGCGGATCTGAACCAAAACCGAAATAAAGGGATTAAAAAAAACACTTTAAGAAAAGCGTTAGATGCAGTGGAGAGGACATGGGGTGAGTTGGACACGATGACAAAGGATATCACTATTTGGCTACAGTTCTGAATTCTCTTCTCTGTAGTTCTTGAATGTTTTCTAACAGTGTGGCTCTACAGTCGAGTCAGTCTGCCTGATAAAATAGGAAATTGGTTTAGAAAATTAACATGTTTTGCCAAGTATAAGATGGTGCCATGTATACCTTGATTTTGGTACTGGAAATTTTTGGGAAAAAATAATATGATTTTAAAAATCTACTATCATTTTATAAGGCAAAGACTATTTTTAGACCCTATATTTCTGAAAATTAAGTGCATCTTATGCTTGAAGAAATATGGTATTTACAATTTTACCCGTTAGAACAAAGGGGTGACTTCATATTCACCAGGTGTACATTTGGGAGGAAGTCTGGTCCTGGGTGTTTGTCCACTTTTAATCTTTGATCTTGTTCTAAGATTTAAATTGTGTGTGCACATCCATGTTCTGGCTTATTTGTATGCAGAGTGTTGGTTCCTTGCCCCCTGCAGAGAGTTGCTTCCTTGCCCCCTGCAGAGAGTTGCTTCCTTGCCCCCTAAGCAGATGCACTTTGAAGGAAACATTGATCCTGTCTGCATTAGTCAGGCTTCTGGTTGAGAACCTGTTTTATGATGACTGGGGAGATGATTACTTAGGTCAGGACCTGTATGAGCCTGGTTCTGGTGCCGCGCCGCACTTGGTTTCGGCAATTATGCATCCCAAAGAGGGTCACAATCAGGTGCATCATTCCCCTGAAAAATGTCTGTCTCCGAGACTTTTTTTCTTCTTTTTTCTCTGTGTGAAATTTACAGCCTTTTGTATTCTCAGTAAAAATGTACATGCTTGCGTTTTATGTGATTCTTATGTATACATATGGGGAAACCATAAGTGCTTATACATATATTATTATGGTGTGATGTGCTCATGTGTGGACTGTAGCAACTGGAAATGTGTACATATTTGTCTGACATGTGATTTTGTGTACACACTAGCACTTGTTTAGTTATTGAATCTATTACTAACGCCTGTTACATTGTATACCTCATTACATCAGCCCAGATATGCAAAAATATCTTTCTTTTTTCCCCCCAGCTTCTACCTTCTAATGCACTTTGCAGAGCTGTTGATTGTGAAGTTTTATTGATAGCTACTACTACCCTATATGAATGGAAAATTAAAGTTCAAATAAAAACTTTACTTGTTTGAGTTTTTATGTGTGCCCATATGTTTTTGCCGCAACCGGTAAAGTTCAATCAGTGAGCTGCCATCTTCACATTTAAGGTTGGCTGCAGTTCTTCTGTGTTGACCTTTAAAAGGGCTGTTGGCACTTGCTACTGTGGTCGTGTGGTTTACAGCAAGGCTGCGATATCTGTTTTGGCTCAACACATACGATTTCATCAAACTTCTAATTACTCATCTTTTACTATGTGCGTATGGGTGGGGTGTCATTCCCCCCCCCCCCAATATCTTTCCCCAATTGGGCCCCTGGAACCTACACTAGGAGACTTGAATATCAGCCAGATCCCATCGTCACTCCTCAGGGCATCACTCTCAGCAACACTCTGTGTCTTCATGTATCCTTCCCACTTGCTCTGAGTATACCCAAGAAATATGATATTTTAACATGTTCCCATTAATGTCTGATCACTAATACACTCGTGTTTTTCTCCTTGTTCTTTTTCCCTTCTTGGATATCTGTTGTTGAAACTCCTTGGGCTGAAAGAGTTAATGGGTCGGCAGACCAACATGGCAGATTCAAAATACTTTGTTCAACCCCCAGATAAGCTATAATTAGGGCACCCCTGTTGGTTACACTGGTCAGCTGTGACCTGCAGTTCCGTGTGTGTGCGTGCGTGTTCAGGTGCAGTCATGCTACATGGTAATACAGGAAACATTTAAAATGTATAGCGAGGCAAGAAACGAAACAAACAGTTCAACATTACAAATCATAATTACTATCTGATTAAGGTGTGAAATGTTGTTGGCACCTCTCCGTCTTTACAGGTAATAGTATTATACTGTGCTATAGGGAGGCATGGGACTGACAGTCCATGATGACAGTGAGTGAGACAATCAAGACCCGCCCGTGTTAAGAAAATTGTTCCACAGTTAGAGCATAGGATTCCAGGACCTTTGTTGCCACCGCATGTATTTACTGTGCTGTTTCTCTGACACTCGTCTCCCAACCTTTATGCACTCATTTGTTTCCATTCTTTTCCTGGTTTCCCACCTCCAAGAAATGTGGTCCATGGTATTTTGTTTCTGTGAATCTACCTCATTACCGGTATCGTTCATTTCCCACTTGCAGACATTTTAATATTGTAGTAGAGGCCCAACTCGATATCTGCCCATTTGTAATTCACCGAAGGTTCATGACACACCTGAGTCTTTGGAGACTTTGCATTGAGAAGTCTGTTGTAATATCTGCTCTTTTCAATACCTCAGTGTTTGTGATTGTGTGCTGCTACTTATGCCAAGTATTTGTCTTCCTAGGCATCACATGTGAAAGCTATTTAGCCATTTATCCTGATGCCAGTAAGTTGACCAAGTTGTGAACTGTTGCCAAAATGGTCAAGTGATAGTACACTTGTTTCTGCAGTTAGACGCTGTCGTCATTTTGAGGTGACAGCTTCGATTCCCAGCATGGACACTATCACTTTTTTTTTTTATTTTGTCTGTTGTGTCCTATATTTCTATGATTGCCGATCAAAACTTGCTTGTTTGTTATATATATATATCTTTTCTCCTGCCTGTCAACCTTGGAGTCCAGGTGCATCTTTTTTGTTTTAACTTGCCCATCTCACTAGAGTTTGGTGTCAGATGTCTCAGATGGTGTGGACTTGCGTCATGACTACCAGCAGACAGTACACAGTGCACACGATGGATAAATGAAAATCCGAGGCCATAAATACTGCTATCTACATAGCACATAATAGGCTCTGACCTGATTCCTCTTCCAACCCTGATGCTGAAGGCCAGTAAGGACTAGGGAAGAAGAAGAGTATTGCCTCATGAAGACACTGCAAGATGTCACTTGTTGAATTTTGTGATTTTGTGAATTGTCTGTGCTCTTCTCTTATGGGATGTTTTGACTGTTCTCACTCAGGTGCAGATACTAAAAGGCATCGACAAAGGCAAACAAGGAGTGGTCTGTTGGCTCATCAAAGAGAGAAACTGGTGCTATGTGGAGGGGCTCAATTGTGTAAGTATACCTGGTGTATAGAACTAGTACATGGACTGTGTGTAAGTACATCTGGTGTGTAGAACTAGTACATGGACTGTGTGTAAGTACATCTGGTGTGTAGAACTAGTACATGGACTGTGTGTAAGTAATCTGGTATGTAGAACTAGTACATGAACTGTGTGTAAGTACATCTGGTATGTAGAGCAACTACATAGACTGTGTGTAGGTACATCTGGTGTGTAGAGCAACTACATGGACTGTGTGTAAGTACATCTGGTGTGTAGAACTAGTACATAGACTGTGTGTAAGTACATCTGGTGTGTAGAACTAGTACATGGACTGTGTGTAAGTACATCTGGTGTGTAGAACTAGTACATAGACTGTGTGTAAGTACATCTGGTGTGTAGAACTAGTACATGGACTGTGTAAGTACATCTGGTGTGTAGAACTAGTACATGGACTGTGTGTAAGTACATCTGGTGTGTAGAACTAGTACATGGACAGTGTGTAAGTACATCTGGTGTGTAGAACTAGTACATGGACTGTATGTAAGTACATCTGGTATGTAGAACTAGTACAGGGACTGTGTGTAAGTACATCTGGTATGTAGAGCAACTACATGGACTGTGTGTAAGTACATCTGGTGTGTAGAACTATTTCAAGGACTGTGTGTAGTAGAGGCACTGTGATGGGTGAGAAATTACGTATTTTAAAAGAAAAGTGAATCATCTGTTAGAATAGAAGGCTAGAAAGCTAAAGTGGACCACAAAAGAAAGTAAGATTTGAAGTTAGAAAAAAAGAGCATTTAAAATCACTGAATTTGTTTAGAGATACAGAGAACTAAAAGTCATGCCTGGAGTAGAGAAACTTAATAAACAGTAACTATAAGAGTTTTTTTTTTAAGAATTAGTGTTTCTAATACGCAAGATTAGAAAGGGGGTGGGAGGGGGGGGGATTCTTTTACTTATGTTTTATTATTATTATTACAACTACTTCATTTCTTTTATTGGTTCCACATCACCTTTTCTTATTTATAAATTGTATAGTTGTTTACATGACCCCATAGTGGCCAGTATACTCTGCCTCTTTTTGTTGTTGCGGTTTTGTCCAGAAAGGCTCTGGCCAGAACGCCTGATTTTGTTTTTCTTTGTGTGTACATTGCCCCCAGCCACCCTATTGTTAAGCTTCGTAGTCACGGTTCAGTGGATTAATTTCTTGCTGGGGCGTGTGTGGGAGGCAGTGGGTCTGTTCTTCACCCCGCCCCAGGATGGGTCCAGGAACTCAATGGGTGAGAGAACCCTTCTGTTCTATTCTTGTTGGTGTCTGTGGCTTTGGTCCCTGATAAAGACAATAAGTGGAAAGATTTCCCAAATAACTATTATTTTTTTCTTCTGCCCTTAATTCCAACTAATGGAGTATAGGCCCTCAACCAACTCACGCCAAGTTGTCCTATCTGTTGCTGTTGCATGCAACTCAGGTTGTGTCCTGTCTGTCTTTTTAACTTCATTCTCTATCTCCCTTCTCCATGTATTTTTTGGGTCTTATCTTTGTTTCTGTGCCTCTCTGGCTCTATTCTGCATGTATTTTTTTGGTCTGTCTTTGTTTTTCTGCTTCTCTGGCTCCCTGTGCCCGATTCGCCTTAAGGTGTGAAAAGGAATCTTAACTGTTTTTTTTTTTTTTAACTTTGTATCTGTGCTTTTCTGGCTTCCTTCTCCATCTATTTTTTTGGTCTGGCTTTGTTTCTGTGCCTCTCTGGCTGCCTTCTCCATCTATTTTTTTGGTCTGGCTTTGTTTCTGTGCCTCTCTGGCTGCCTTCTCCATCTATTTTTTTTTTGTCTGGCTTTGTTTCTGTGCCTCTCTGGCTGCCTTCTCCATCTATTTTTTTTTTGTCTGGCTTTGTTTCTGTGCCTCTCTGGCAGCCTTCACTATGTATTTTTTTGTGGTCTGGCTTTGTTTCTGTGCCTCTCTGGCAGCCTTCACTATGTATTTTTGGGGGTATGTCTTTGTTTCTGTGCCTCTCTGGCAGCCTTCACTATGTATTTTTGGGGTCCGTCTTTGTTTCTGTGCCTCTCTGGGTTCCAGTGCAATGACATTCCTGTGGTTCCTCTTTTCACAGTGTGTGTCCTCAAACATTGGTATATCTTCTTCACATCTTGATCCACTGGAATTTGTTTAGTTGTGCCCTAAAGCTCAAAATTAGTGATTTTGTCATGCCATTTAATTCCCTCTGTTCTGTTCAGGCACCAGTTAATTAATGTTTATTGATAATTGTTTGGTTGTTCTCCATGTTTCTGCTTCATATAGCAGTACTGATTTGACTTTAGAATTAATTTTTTTATGGTTTGTATGAATCTTAATTTGTTGACTTCCACAAATGTCCTAGTGCTGTGAAAACCTCCTCTTGCCTTTTGTATTCATAGTAACTATTCTATCTTTGATAAACATTACAGTATCAGATTTCAAGGATAATTAATTATCCTGTCCATGCTAATGCAGTATTGTTGCACATTAAATGTTTTTTTTCTTTCATCACTTGCCAGTTTTACAGATGGTTGAATAGAAGTGCCAACAACCCTGGCCTGCTCACTAAAGTTGAGAAGCCGCTCCTGGTGACTACGGAAGTGTCACTTCTGGACCCCAGTGACATGTAAGATTTCTTGTGCCACTTCTAGACCCCGGTGACATGCCATTTGTCTTCTTACATGTCATCAGGGTCTTATCTCCAGTTGACATAATGAAGTATGTTATTTGGTCTAATGAAGTTGTAAATATTTGAACCAGTTAATGAGGTAATCAAAGCAAACAGGTCACCTCATAGTTACTCTGTCCGTGTGTCAGTAAAGACCACACAGAATGCTCATGGCTGTCCTTTATGAAAAAAATTGAAGTCTGCAGTTTCAGCAAAGCCAGTACTCACACTGATTACATGCATGAAACAACCATCAGTTTGAACTAGTGTCAGCATAGTCTGACAATTAAATAATGAGCATAAATTAATTATGGCCAAAACAAAAATGCTGTTCATAAAACAAAGAATGGCATCCAAACAGGCACCATCCATCTTTGATCTGGTAAATTGAATGCCACCAGGCGTCAAGTAACACTGCCATTTTGTTTAACTAGTGAAATTTTCATTGTTACATATGAAGCATGGACATCAGGTTGAATATTAATTTTAAGAAAAGTGCTCTGGAGACAGTTTAATTGAGATAAGTTAATGAGGACCAATGTTTATCAGATTTAATATATTCATCTGCCGCCATTCTCACATCAGACATGGGGGTTTTTGCTCTATAATGTAAATTACCACAAGGATTAGAAGATCCCTTTTTGTGTAATGATTTTTGTGTATCTTCTGTTCTCCAACTTTGGCAATGAGTTTATCATTATGAACATTGGTTGTCCAGGTCCAACTTCATCATGTCTTTTCCACACTACTTTTGAATCATGAATAACTCATGCACAAGAAAAGCATTGATCCTCATAAACTTATCTCTTCAGTTCAGCTGTCTCAGTAGTACTTTACTGATATTGAAATATAAGTATATAAGTAATATTCTCCCTTGGCTCCATGTTGCATATGCAACAATGCAGCTTTCACTAGCTAAACAAAATTATTTGTTACTTCTGGCTTGCTGACCGGACATCGTTACAAATACGGCAGATCACTGGTGAATGGTGGCTGTTTGTATGACATGAGTTGCTCCATCACTGCAATTTTGGTTTTGGCCATTAAAAAAATCTGTCTCATTATTGAATTTTCGGACAGTTTAATGAAACATGTCTTCTAGGTAAGTGAAAGCTGTAACTTTAACAGTGATGACACCAGCAATGTCATCTAGCATGTCATATAACAGGTGCTCTGCAGAATGTCACAGCTGTCATCTTGGCACAGGAGAAGGTTACTCAGTCCTCTATCAACTTTACCATCTCATGAACTTTCATGCACCAAATGTCCTTGATATCCTGTATCCATTATTGTGCTGATTTACCCCTGCCTGTTTTTCCAGGAACCATACCTGGCGTTACTGTTCTCTTCAAGCGGGTATTGCTGATACATGTCAGTGTCAGAACTTATAATACTGTCCAATGAGCAGAAAGGAGATGTTGGCCGTGTTAAAGGTCAAGGTGGCCTGGAGAGTTCAGTAATGGAAATTACAGATTGGACCTTTGGGAATGTGGATACATGACATTGTGTATGCAGTGGCTATGAAAGCACATAGGGCTGGAGAACTGGCTAGAAAATCTGAGATTTTCAGGGTTGAATGTTGAATTAAGAATCAACATCACAGCACTCGGGACACTCCCATAAGTGCTCAGTCCCCATCTTCTTCAGCAAGCGAAGAGTTCCAATTCTGATGGTGCCAGTAACCGTCTGATTGTACATCTGTCTCACCCTTTCCCTGAGTGTTGAGCATCGTCCAGATCTCCTGGTAACTCCTTGCAGCGCTGTTCTCCTTAGACCGTAGATTTTCAGGCTTGCTGTGATGAGAGCGACATTCTACAAATAACCAGCTGTTCGAAAATGAGACAATTCTTAGTAATCAAGTCCTGAAAAGTCTCAGTATTTCTCCTCTTCTTGCTGCTCTAGGAATCTTTTGTGACATTTACTGTATTTGTGGTTTAAAAGACTCCCTTATTTTGTTCTTAAAATAGTCCTAAAAAATAGGCTGCATCTTATACGACAAAGGTAGGCCAGCATACCCCATTAGTTCTCACAGTTGCCCGCCACATTGTAATAGATAATTTACAGTATTGAAATAGATAATTTACGACATTCTGCAGCGCAAGTTTGAAACCCTGTGTGAGGAAATATATTCAGAAAAACATGGCCATAGGTCAGCAGAAAATCATTTCACACCTCAGCAGACGGGGAAAAAAGCCATAAAGCTTTGGCAGTCTCGGCAAGATGTTTTATGCAAAATGAACAAAAGAGAGCGCACAAAACTTGAAAACCTACAAAAGAGTGGAATAAGAGAGATGTATTAAAGTGGATGGAGGCTTGGAATGCGTCTTATACAAGGGAGCGTCTTATACACCGACAAATATTGTTAACTTCACATAAGGGGTTTATGGGGAAGTGGATTTGTTTCATGAACTGCCATGTGGGTTTCGGAGTCCCATGGTGGTGGTGCTGGCTGGGGCCGGGGGAAGGGGGGGGGGGGTCCATAGATCCACTGCTTCCCTAACAAGCATGTCTTAAAAGTAGACTAATTAAGGTGGTTTCCTTCAAAGTCAGAGTGCATTTGCCTGGGGGTGAAGGAACCAACAGTCTGCAGATAAGCCAGATCTGTAAAATGGATGTGCACACAAGTTCTGGAACAAGATTAAAGTCCAGAATTAGTCAGTGGACCAGAACTTTCTGCCTGAGTTTTTGAATGCAAAGAAGAAGATTTTGTTGAATGCATCATTAGGTTCAAGAGTTTGGTTATTTTAGAAATCATTTCTGGAGCTACAAAGTTTATGCTTTATACGACACTTTCTGTAAGAAGCTGGCTGTTTTTCTGCAGAGATAGGTCAAGTTTATGGGATAAAAACCTGGTACAAAGAAGCCGATCCTCTTGACTTGAAAGTTGAAAAGTTCTTTCATGCCAGCCACCTTGACTTCCAGAGACTTTATTGGTGCATATTTAAGGCTGAGTTGACCTGGGAGCCAAGGTCATTTTTGAAAAAAAGTCTGGCTATGTCAGGACCTGAACCTGTGACCTTCAGATCCTCAGGCAAGCATCTAACCGCTACACCATGGAGGCTCCCTTAAATATGCCAAGCAATAAATCGTTTAGTTCCCTAGATTACTTTAATTCATTGCAGTAAAACTTTTAAAATGCTTGAATGTTTCAGTTGAAATGCTTGAAGGTTTCAGTGGAAATGCTTGAATGTTTCAGCTTGTATTAATATCTGACAGAATGTATCTGAGTTAACGATGCTGTCAATATTTGATGTGTTGTCATTTACTAAAATGTAAATGACTAAAGCTGCGAATGTGCAAGAAAATGTGTTTGGTTTGAGTTAATGAAGCTGTGAATTTCTGAGCTGGTGTTGATATATAATGAAATGTGTGATCTTCTGTCTGAAAAAACAACAGGCAACCCACAGGTGTGGAATGGAGGTATGATGCAGATGGCAACCGTGTCCGGGTATCCTTGAGAAGTGGTCGGATCATTCCAATGCCTAGAAAAGCTTTGGATGAAGCTGAAGACTATGTGGACAAGAATGACTATATAGGTTAGATATCGTGTTGATGGGCTGTTCTCTCTTATTTGATTGTATCGTGATAGCCCATTTTTGCCCTCTCTTGTAGCCTACTGAAATGCTAAAAAACTGATACAAGTTCGGTCCTATATCGTGTAGGAATTTTTTTCCCATTCATGGCTAGCATGAAAGATCCTGTCTTTAACCAGTTTCCCGTCTCGTGCATTTTTAGGCCCAATTGCTTTTAATATTCTGTATTAGTCCTTGCCTTGATGAGCCTTTTGCATCATCTTCTAGAATCTACCTGTTCTATTATTATTTCTAAACCAGTGTGGCCAAACTGAGTTCTCAAGACTTGCTGTATGTGGTCAGTTTTCTTCACGTAAATATCTCATAGAATCAGTTTCATATTTATGGCCAGGCATGCAAGGAAATAAGCAAGCGGATAGGCTTGCAGGTAAAGCTACTGTGGAGGAGTGCAAGCCATGTACCAGGCTGATATACAAAATGCTCTACGAGAGGTATGACATTTGTAAGAACCTAGTTATGACTGAATCTGCAACCATGACCAGACTGCAAGAACATGTTAGAAGGGGTGTAGCCAGACAAGAGCACTGTGCAGGAAACCAAAGAAACCAACATAGAACTGGTGTCTCATCAGCTGCTACATGTGTGGAATTTACTACTGAGATCCGAGCACTTCTTCTTCTTCTTCACTTCCTCTTTTACCGCTGTGGGTGTCGAGGGAGATATAAGGTTCTGTCTCTAGCTCTTCTGGCTGCCTCGACCATAGGCACATCGTGCTGTTGTAGAGTTTCTCTGATGTTATCCTTCCATCTTGTTCTTGGTCTACCTCTTGCTCTACGTCCTTCTTCTCTTTCCATGTATGCTTTGTATGGTATGGTGTCACAAGGCATTCTAAGTGGGCAAACCATTTCACTTGCTGTCTTCGTATGTAATTTAGAATTGGTTCTGTGTCGACTTTTTCTCTTATGATCTCATCTCTTATGGTCACTCCTACAGCCCTTCTCAGACATCTCATTTCCATGGTTACTAATTTTCTTTTATGGTTTGTTGTGAGTGACCATGTCTGGCACTGGTAGCACAGAGTTGGAATAAATATGCTTTGAATTAGATGTCTCTTTGTGCTGATTGGGATTGTCTTATGCTGTAAGAGGGGGGCTAGCTGTCCCAATACTTGGTTTGCTTTACTGCATCTAATGTTAATTTCTTTATCCAATTTCCCATCTTCGGTAAATGTAGTTCCCAGATATTTAAACTCAGATGCCTGTTTAATGCCTTTGTTTTCTATTGCTATGTTTAGATCTGTCTTCTTTTTTCCTATTGACATTACTTCTGTCTTTTCAGTGTTGATTCTCATATTATTTGTTTTACATTCTTCATTCATGGATGTTAGATGTTGTTGCAATTTCATGGCTGTATCTGCTATCAAGGCCTGGTCATCTGCAAAGAGTAATTCGTTGATCTTACTAACATTTTCATTTGCTTGGCATTCTTGCATATACTGTCGATGTAGGTGATAAGACACACCCCTGTCTTACTCCAGATGTCACTGTGAATGGATGAGATATTCCCTGATTTATTCTAACTACACTTCTACAATCCCTGTATAAACTTTTGCACACAGGGATTGTATAAGTGTAGTTAGAATAAATCAGGGAACATCTCATCCATTCACAGTAACAAGCACTTTACTACCTAAATAGTCTGATGTGAGCATATATCAGAGAACAATCCTGCAAATATTGTTCCCTCTTTTGACCCAGTGTATTCAATGAATTTTATGTAGCATTTAAGTTTTCTTCTTTAGTGATTATCAAATATCATGAGTACAAATAATGACATATGTTTTTAAACATTGAGAGATAGAGAGAACAAAGACATGTGATTTAATAATTCTGCAAATGAATCTACCAACATAAGAATATGATGCAGAGGGAAAACTCACTGATCCTGCTTTGACTGTCCTGTGTCCATGGTTATCATAAGACCGTGGCCTCCCAAGAACCTAGCACTCAGTGACTACTCTTTTTTAACTTGAGTGTAATTTCATAAAACTGAAGTTCTCCATGTGGGTTCTGGGGCCCCAATTCTCTGTCCCACCCCTCCAAGTCTGTGCTAAAATGTGATTGACTAGGGGTTTCTGAAACCAGTTGTGTTAGGCTGAAAGATGCACATATCACAACCTCTGCCACATGAGTTTCTGATGCACCTAAGCAAACAAGTTTTTTGCTTGACCTAGTGAAATCGGTTTCTGATGCCTATGCAGTCCTTGGCATTTACCAGGGGTTGATTCCCACGGTGGGTGGCTTAGAAACAGACTGTTCTCATGGCTGACAGAGTGGCACACAGAGAATTCATACACTTTCTCCTCCTTCGTGTTCACCAGTTGTGGCTGTTCATCCACCTCAAGACAAGTCTTGTTCCAAATCTCAGTGTTGTGTGTGGTCCACTTTACAGATCTTGCTTGTGTCTATGCAGACTTTTGGTTCCTTACCTCTGAGGTAAATGCACCCAACTTCACAGAAAGCTCCCAGTTAGTTGACTCCTAGGACATGCTTTTTTGAGGTGGCAGTTGGTCTGTTTTTTGTTTTTCCCAGAAAGGGGCCCTGGGATCTAGTGAGGTTCTGGAAGACATTACAATAATGAGAGGGACAAACATAAGCAGGTTTAATGCACCTGCTACTATAAGCATGCAGACTCTTCATTGGCTACTGAGAAAGAAGACCGAGCACGTGTGGGAAGGTTCCGAGTGTAGTGATGTCAATACTTGATGTATTCATTCATTCAGACAGGGGTAAAAGTGCTGCACAATGTAAAAGATTACGGCCTCGCCATATAAAATTCTTGTAGTTAGCAGTAGATATTTTGCAGCAAACCTCTACTTTGGAGATGGCACAGGTTTAAAAAAATCTGAAAAACCTGCTCCTAATCCTGATCCACGCTTATCTTCTGATTGTACTGCTGCCAGATATTTGAGTTTTGACTCTGTAAAGTCTCAACAATTGTTTTGTTTTCATGTTGAATGAAAAGTTCCTATTTTAAATTTTTTTTTTTTTTTTTTTAAACAGAACAAATCTGGGATACAAAAGAGAAAGAATTAACCAAAGTGACCTTCCAGCCAGTTGCATCATCTTTTGAGCAGGACATCATGAACTCCATGGGAATCAAGGAAGACAGAAAGAGAGCTCCTAAATTTTATTACTGATGGAGTTACGATTTTCATTCTCCAGTTGGGTATTAAAGTTCATTATTATTTCTGCCAAGAGTATTGTTGCTGTCAATCTAACAAACAAATTGTGCCATTATTGTTTGTTACAAAACTTCACTGGAATCGCTGAACTCCAGAATTCAAATATGCAGGTGTCTGTCCTTTCCTCAGGCAGACCACAAAGATCAAAAGACATGCTTTTTTTTTTTTTATATACATCTGTTGAACTTCTAAAAAAAAAATTAATGTACACGAGCATAATTTATAATTACCAATAAAGAAAGCCAATATATTGCACACTTTTAATATTTTTTAATCTCCCTTCGTATTGAAAATAGAATCCTGGGCTGCACAGTCTGTGGCGACTGCACTAGCCATGCAGTCCTACATCCTCAGGCTCAATATGCCCTAAATATTATTTGGCAAGAACAGAGACTGAGCAGGGCCTACTGTAGAAGCCTGTGGTGGAGAACCTTTGCAAACAATTTGGGAGCATGCATCTTTCCAGCAACATGTGTCCTGGCTGGTTCAGTTCAGTTTTGGTTCAGTGCATGAAACCTCTCCCCAATATGGGGCACAATTTTTTGTTATTTTAAAGCGGCACTCTGGCTGTGGTTAGGGACCCTAATATAACCAAATGATTAAATAGGGTTTCTGGGACTTGTACTAGAATGATTCTCGTCCAAATAGTGGCACTTTGTATCAGCGGGTGTTTATCGTTTGTTGTGCGGTCCTGGTGGGGTTGAGCGTCGATCACTTCTACTTAGTTGTAACCAGAGTGTGAGAAGATCAGCAGCCACGAGCATGGCAGATCAAATTGGATCCAGACCTTGCCAAGGGTTAGCTAGAGCTGCCACTGAGCCAATGAGATGGACTGTATCATCCAAACTAAAAGTAGAAGATAGCCTTTGATTATTTTCACTGTACCACTGGGTGTGTGTGTGTGTATATATATATGTATGTACATATGCATGTATGTCTGTGTGGATATTCCCTTTGGTATACATTCAACACGGTAAACATTTTGTTTAGAGGCTAAATCTTCAGCTTGCTATATGACCTTTGCTTGGAATGTGAACTGCATGCTAGAAACTGCATAAGTCTAAATTAGACACGACACTGCATGAGTTAAAATTAGACACGACACTGCATGAGTCAAAATTAGACACGACACTGCATGAGTCAAAATTAGACACGACACTGCATGAGTCAAAATTAGACACGACACTGCATGAGTCAAAATTAGACATGACACTGCATGAGTCAAAATTAGACACGACACTGCATACTATCTTTGTTTATCTCTCTCGAGATAAATCCATGGATAGATGTCATTGACAGTGCAGAGAAGAATCAAACCAACAAAGCCCACAACTGCCATCATAGCACTGTCTTCAATGACCAGACAATGTCACTTTTTCAAAACATCCTGAGAAAGCAGAAGCAAAGTTCTTAGGGAAGATTTTTGAGCCAATCTGATGTGGGAAAGGGAAAAGAGGATTCAGGCTTTCGAATATGAATGCTACTCAAGACAAATTTTACAAATTAGCTATAGAACATAAAACCAACAACCATGTGAGACACACACAAATTTGCAGGGCATCAGGAGTCTCTTCTGGCAAGATGAAACATTATTTGGTTTGGGAACATGGTGATACATACATGATTCAACTGGCACTGCAAAGACTACTTTGAGGAATACAGGGGGTAGCTGCGGAAGAGGAGGGCAAAGAAGAACCTGAAATGACATCATCAAGAACTAAAGCGGAAAATGGAGAAGGATGGCAGGTTTGTGTGTTAGTGCTCCACTGATATACCTCCAAGACCCTAAGGGGTCAGGGTTATGTTGTTTTAAACATATAAAGCCATATCAGGTCCAGGTAGCAAACACAGAAAGAAAACAAAAATTATAAAAAAGGAAAAATACACCCCAGACTTCTGAAGTTTTATTAAAAGGGGACTCTATTTCTGAACAGTACCATCTCCTCCTCCTCCTCCTTTCTTAGTACCATCCTAGCAGGCACTCGACTCTTGAAGGGGACTCTATTTCTAAACAGTACCATCTCCTCCTCCTTTCTTAGTACCATCCTAGCAGGCACTCGACTCTTGAAGGGGACTCTTTTTCTAAACAGTACCATCTCCTCCTCCTTTCTTAGTACCATCCTAGCAGGCACTCGACTCTTGAAGGGGACTCTATTTCTAAACAGTACCATCTCCTCCTCCTCCTCCTTTCTTAGTACCATCCTAGCAGGCACTCGACTCTTGAAGGGGACTCTATTTCTAAACAGTACCATCTCCTCCTCCTTTCTTAGTACCATCCTAGCAGGCACTCGACTCTTGAAGGGGACTCTATTTCTAAACAGTACCATCTCCTCCTCCTTTCTTAGTACCATCCTAGCAGGCACTCGACTCTTGAAGGGGACTCTTTTTCTAAACAGTACCATCTCCTCCTCCTTTTTTAGTACCATCCTAGCAGGCACTTGACTCTTGAAGGGGACTCTATTTCTAAACAGTACCATCTCCTCCTCCTCCTCCTTTCTTAGTACCATCCTAGCAGGCACTCGACTCTTGAAGGGGACTCTATTTCTAAACAGTACCATCTCCTCCTCCTTTCTTAGTACCATCCTAGCAGGCACTCGACTCTTGTCAGGAAGGAGAGGATACATTTTCATTTATTTCCTCTTCTGCATTCATTCAGAGATGTATTTGTGTTGTGTCCATTTGCAGCATGGCCGATATTTGCACCTTTCGGCCTGAAACATCCGACTTCTGCAGGCGTTTGTTGCCTGGGTTACCCTTCCCAGTTTCATTTATTTTATTGAACTGCTTTTGTATTGATGTATTTTATAGTGTTAGGCAGTATATAAATTACTGTGTACAACCCCACAATGCAGCATATGTTAATAACAACAGGATTTTTTTCTTGGGAATATTACTCTCCATGTATTTCTTAAGAGAAAACCTTTTTTGGTATACGTCCAAGGATCAGGATTAAGTATGTATACCAAGGTACCACTGTGTATGTGTGTATATATAAATATACATAGAGAGGGAGAGTGACAGTTTAAAACTGAGATCACAGAACTCGGAACATTGCCTTAAGTGCTTCATTCTCCTCTCCAGCTGCCAGCACAGTTTCATCTCCGAGGGTGCAAGTATGTCCATCTCGCCTCCCCCCCCCCAACTGCTGGATAAGCAAAGTCCCCTGGTCACCCCTAGCTCTGCCGTTCTCTTCAGACCGTGATGATCTATTTTTGCCTCCTCATTGTTCACTAGCTCCTAAAAGACCCTGACAACATCTAGCTCTTCATGTATCAGTTTACCATCAGGTAGTGCAGAAACAGCCATCTGTCTGCCTGTTCTTTTCCCAACACATCTACATCACCTGGAGAAAATATTCAAAAGGTCGACTAGCTACCCCGCGACCTCTGAAGTGATGCTTGCCACTCTGCATTAAATATATCATTCTCCACCTCTCTTAACATTCTCTGTGAGTCAAATGTGTGTGCAGCTGGTTCTCAGACCAGCAAAAGGGTGCAGTGACTGCCTCCACCTCCATTCTCAGACCAGATGTTGTGGTATCATAGGCTTTGTTGCACTAAACACAACAGAAGTGAGCCTGCCTGCCTCTCTCTCTCTCTCCTCCCTCTCTCACACACACAACAGCAAAGTATCCACACATGCTACCACACAGGCAAGAAAGGTCTGCTTCACAGCAATTCTTTCAACGTTCTCTATTCTATCATGGAGTGCTGAAGCTTCAAATATCCGACACGACAGTAAAGCAACCAAATTCCCTTACTTCTAATTCTAACTTCAAAGTTTTAAAATTCATGTTTCCCATGTGGGTTCTAGTGTGATAATTGAAGGTGACTAACTAAGCCTTTGCTGAAATTGCAGATATCCCAGCCTAGCTGTAAACCATAGAACATGTGACAACCACCCTTTGAAGGGTGAATGTAGAAGAAGAATGAATCATTTATCTGTAAATCCTACAACAAACTGATGAAGTGTTACAGCTTTACATAACCAAACCATACAGCTTTTGTAAATAGACACAATCAAATTATAACAACATCTAATGTGAACATAATGAATAATTATAAAATGTAATTTCTTGCATACAAAAATTAAGAGTTAACAGAAGAACAAGCAAGCTAATTCAAGCCATACCTAAAAACAAGAAAAGGATCAGACATTTTCATCCAGCACTGGAGTCACGACTCGGGCATGCCCAAGGGTATCCATCTCCCTACAGAAGATGTTCGAGAATTGTCTGTGGCTTAGGTGCTGCGAACACGCTTCGTAATGCTGGGGTGCCGGGTTTGATCCAAGCTGCGAATAATTTATCTTGTGTTGGTTGCAACAGTGGTACCGAGAGTTAACTGTTCAGAAAGCAATAGCAAATAATACTGAACGTCAAATTTGCCTAGACAAACCACAACAAATGCTGTGGTTGGTTCTGCAACATCCTGTACAGGATAAGCAACTAACTTTTTTGGAGTCACAACTCAGACATGCCCAAGTGTAGTCCATCTCCCTAAGATGTTGAAGAATATGGATACTTAAACACCCACAGATGGTGACATGGGGTTCTATCTACCCCCATCTTTCCTGCCTGATTTTTTTTAAATATAACTGACACCTTAAATTTATTCCAAGGAACACTGGATAGGAAAGGCTGGACTAGTACAGCCACTTCTGGTCTTGTCAACCATACCTACCAAAAATACTAACACACAGTCTCCCACAGCATAACACTCAGTTATTGATTGCCTTACAGAAAGCCGTCTCAGAGCCGCAGGGAATACCTCCATTTTTGAAAATGCTCTGCTATCATCTATCTGTGAAGCTCAATGTTGATCTCTTTCCCTGATCCATCAGCATATAATACGGACCCACCACCCACCAGTGGTAGAGCTCACTAGTACATCACTACCACTCACACTGGATCATTTCTAGCCATTTTGGTGTTCCGTGCATTACAATGAGGAAATTCCACCAAACCGACAGAGTCACTAACACATGGAAAAGAAAAACCAACTTCAGCAGCAAAGACCAAATTCCTGAAACACTCAGCAAAACAAACAGAAACTGGTACAGCAATGACGGCCAGCAACCACCATTTTTAAAATACATAAACAATATAAAGGAACTCCCTTTTTGATGTCATGTGGGGGTTATCAGCCCAATGTTAGCAGGCTCAAGGGCGCTATAATCAACTTCATGCCAACCATCTTTACTTTCCATGATATTTCCAGTTACCCATTTAAAGATGGGTTGATCTGAGAATTAGGATATATTTTTTTTTAATTCTTTTTTTAAATGGGATTCAAACACTGGCTACCAGGCAAGTATGCTAGTGCCTGCCTCATTATTTATGCAGTACAAACTTGCAAATCTAAGAAACCAGATCACACACACACTCACTCATGCACACACGCACAAATGTGATTTAATGAATTAAACTATTAATTACAAATGTTGATTGATGTTACAAATTTGTGATACATTCCACAACACCTTACCACAGAAAACAGTGAAGACAAGATTAAGCAGACACTGTAACGTGCCCGCTTTCCATGTCAATCAGAAACTTCTAGACAAGGATATAACTTTGTTACCATCCAAACAATTTCCATAAGTTTAGAAAAGAAATTTTTCAATATGCACCCACATTTTATAAATAAAAACTGATTTGGAAAAAATCACCATGTTTCCTATGTGAAAATGATGTAAAAAAAGACAAACACAACATTCACTGATCTACATGCCATAGCACAACTACAATGGTTTTGGTTTTTCCCATGAAATTATTAAATACAATTATAAAATGTTATTAGCCAACAGTCCGACAACTGTGAAACTATAAGTTGACACCACAAGAGTCTTGCTGAATCTGTTACGTCAGCCTATAATGAATCAGCCAGTCACTATCATCTTATAGCCACAATATATCATTTCAAATCTTAATCTGTCATCACAGTTCACATGACAATCATTCAACCTTTTGCTGCATACAAATCTTCAAAACTTTGTTACAGAAAAGCATTGTTATAATTCACTGAAACTCCAGCCTAAGAAACTAGAGCAAGAGGAGAACCAGCAGAACAATTGTGAGTCTTGGTCAGTTTTTGTCATTCACAAAAATTGTGTGGAGGCTGACACCTACGACAGTCAGCTACTGCATCCTCACGGTCCCTAAGTCACTTAAACAAATCACTAAAAGGATGAATTTGTCATATTTGGTCATTATTTTACACAAATGTTTTTTTTTTTAATGTAGGGAAGTAATCACTAATAAAAATAGAACAAAGAAAAAACTGCTCAAAGAAATAACTGCTTTACTTCCCTTTGAGTTATAAAAATTGGGATTATGTTGACATAGTCAAAGACAGGAAAGTGACATCATAAATTTATTATAACGTCAGAAAAAAAAAAAAGATTTTTTCCCAACCGAAACATTCCCCCCCCCCCCCCCCCCCCCCCCCCAAATTTCTGTAAATAGTTATACCCACAGACCTCCAGGACAACCCAGGGTCCGCTGGGAAGACAACATTCGACAGTCCCTAACTGACAGAGGACTGGAACGGAACAAAGCCAGAAAGAAAACTGCTGATAGAGACATCTGGCGATCTCTCTGGCAAACCTCTACACCCCAAGTTAGAAGAGCGACTAAGTAAGTTATACCCAACACGTCTACATACTATGCAGTTGCAACCAGTACCAAAGCTGTTATACAGGTGTTTTGGCCAAACATGTATGTCATCACAAACCCATAAAAGTAGGAAAAGCGGCCTTCTCGCAGTGAGAGGATCAGAGTCACAATTTCACATCATTTGACCAATTGAGTCACCTCACAGTTATTGAGTTCATAAACATGACTGATATCTCAGACAAGACTTGAACATCACTGTAAGAGCAAACATCTTCAATCAAATGTCAGAAAGCATTTATTGTAAATGCCCCTATAAAAAAAGTGTTCTTGAATCAGTAATATGGCCGTCGTGGATTATTCTGAAAGAAATAAACAGCAAAGGTAAATAAATAGGAAAATCATCCAATGTCTCATCTTTCACTGTACAATCAGAGATGGGCTCCGCCATGGGGTAGTGGCTAGATGCTCGCTGGAATATGAAGGTCATGGTTTCGAATACGAACATGGATTTTTTTAAAACAATGACCTTAGCTCCCAGGTCGATGCAGCCTAAAATGGGTAGCAGGTAAAGACCTGGGAAGTAAAGGCAGCTGGCATGATGATAACCATATCAACCACTAAGTACATCCATGCCTAGTACGTCTGAAGGCATGGAAAAGAGTCATAACACTTAGTTACACTCAGAGATAATTTAATAGCTGATCTTGTACACTTACAGATTCTTCTTCTTCTGCGTTCATCCGAAGATGTAATTGCGTTGTGTCCGTTTACAGCATGGCTGCGATATTTGCACCTTTCGGCCAACAAATCTGACTTCTGCAGGCATTTTTTGACCGGGTTAGCCTTCCCGTTGTACACTTACAGATAATTCAATATCCACTACACTCAAAGATAATTCAATGTCTTATCTAGCATACATGGCGATATTGCTAACTCTAAGTGTGTTGAAAATTAGAGATGGCTGCTGTTAAATTTTACAAAGAATGACAAAATTCAAATAAAATAACAATAAAAACTAAGAGTCATGAAAGGAAACACATACCGACAACTAGCAAAAATTTTTTGACCAGTTTTTAGCACAACAAAACAATTGGGTTACTTTAGTACAGAACTAAAATAAAACAATCCCACAGTAAAGTAGTCCGCAGATGCCATGGTAAAGTAGTCCTCAGATCCCACAGTAAAGTAGTTCTCAGATCCCATGGTAAAGGCCTCAGATCCCATGGTAAAGTAGTCCTCAGATATCACAGTAAAGTATTCCTCAGATATCACAGTAAAGTAGTCCTCAGATCCCATGGTAAAGTAGTCCTCAGATATCACAGTAAAGTAGTCCTCAGATATCACAGTAAAGTAGTCCTCAGATCCCATGGTAAAGTAGTCCTCAGATCCCATGGTAAAGTAGTCCTCAGATCCCATGGTAAAGTAGTCCTCAGATATCACAGTAAAGAAGTCATCAAATCTCAAAGTAAAGAGGTAATTAGGTCTCAAAGTAAAGAGGTCCTCAGATCTTGTAGTAAAGTAGTCCTCAGATCCATGATAAAATCCTGAGATCCTATTGTAAAGATTTCCTCAGATCTTAAAGTAAAAATGTCCTCAGATCTTAAAGTAAAAATGTCATCAGATCTCAAAGTAAAAAGGTCATCAGATCTCAAAGTAAAGAGATCATCAGATCTCAAAGTAAAGAGGTCATCAGATCTCAAAGTAAAGAGGTCATCAGATCTCAAAGTAAAGAGGTCATCAGATCTCAAAGAGGTCATCAGATCTCAAAGAGGTCATCAGATCTCAAAGAGGTCATCAGATCTCAAAGAGGTCATCAGATCAAAGCAGTCCTCAAATCCCATGGTAAAACAGTCCTCAGATCCCATGATAAAGTAGTCCTCAGATCCCATGGCAAAATAGTCCTCGGGCCCATTCTAGTCCTCAGATCCAATGGCAAAGTAGTCCCCAGGCCCCATGGTAAAACAGTCCTCAGATCCAATGGCAAAGTAGTCCTCAGATCCAATGGCAAAGTAGTCTTCAGATCCAATAGCAAAGTAGTCCTCAGGTATTTTAAAGTAGTCCTCGGGCCCATTTTAAAGTAGTCTTCAGATCCAATGGCAAAGTAGTCTTCAGATCCAATGGCAAAGTAGTCCTCAGGCCCATTTTAAAGTAGTCCTCGGGCCCATTTTAAAGTAGTCCTCAGGCACATTTTAAAGTAGTCCTCAGGCACATTTTAAAGTAGTCCTCAGGTCCCAGAGTAAAGCTGTCCATATAGGAGTAAAACATTTTCAGTGACAGCTAAAAAAAGAAAGAAAATGTGTAAACAATATCAACATCTAATTAGGCTATTCCACTCACCAAAGGGTTTGGTCGAAACCTGTAAGCCAACATCATCCTCTTACGGTAGGCATCAAACTCATCGTCATCCTTGGTCAGGTTAGCTGGACGATCAATTCCCAAGCCCCGGCCTTCAACGGTTGTGTTCCCTCTGGGGATATTGTCACAGAAATTATCATAGAACTTAACATACATGCAACAATGAAAACAGCCACAGCTCTACATACATCAGAAACTGAGTAAAAAACTTTGACAAAACACACTGAAGTCAATCATTGCTATTATCTATCATGTCGGTGTAGGTCACATCAGGCTAAAGTATAGTTCTCCATTCTGTTGTATTGTGTGCAATCCTGTAGATAGCATGGACAGAATGCAGTCCAGCACATGTGACCTGTCCCAGCATCCTTTCATTTTAGTGTTTCTTTTGAACATTCCCATGACCTCAGTGCACCCATTTCCCATTGCAGTGCCTGTTTCGTGATTCTTTCGGGATCTCTGTATAGGCAGCTTGACAGTTGTATAGAGAGCTGGTTTTCAGGAACCAAAGGCAAACTTCTGAACCTACAATTGCACAGTATAATCATAAATGACCAATAAATACAGAAGGCGTGGGGAAAGGGGAGGGGGGGGGGTTGGATCTGAACATCCTGCAAAAGGATTTTTCTTTATTTCTTCATGTTCCCCAGCTGTAAACTCCGACCGAAAGTTTTGATTATTTTTTTACTTATGGACATTAATTTTTTTCCTCTAGCGGCCTACAGGCATGAATCGTAACCTCAAGGACATTCTAGTCAAGAGTAGGTTACGCCCCGCGTCTGAGACCCACTTCGGCACGGTCTCTTGCCACAGACCTTCTTCTTCTTCTTCTGCGTTCGACATCAGTCATGCTAAACATTGAGTCCTGTCTGGGTGAAAAAATAGGATTGTGCGTTTAAGGTCGCCACCGGTCCCCCATAGCTTCTCTCGCAATGTGGATCCCCTGGGCCAGATCCACAGTCTTTGCTGGGAAAGGTAAGGGCAGTACTGCAGTACGCAGACCTGTATGCAGAACCTGTCCATGTGTGGTCCAGGTGGCAAGTCTAGAATTCCCTAACGCCACCTTCCACATACGTGAAGCATTCCATTGTACCAGCCGCAATTTTATTCATGCCATCAACTGCAAGAGATGTGGCATGAAATACATTAGTGAAACAGGTCTTCGGCTGTCCGACAGGTTCAGACAACATCTTTTGGATGTGCAAAATCGTGCTCTGAAACCAGTACCATTGCACTTCAATTCCCAGGATCACCAAGGCATCCTCGACATGGAGGTGACAGCCATTAAATCTAGCCATTCCAGCGACAGAATCTGCAAGTCTCTTGAGAATCGCTTTATTTATATTCTGGGGACTTTAACACCCTCCGACTGAATTGCCAACACATTTTCATTTAAACTCCCAGGGGATTCATAGTTTTATCTCTAATCCCCTAGTTATGGCCCCTGGTACTCCACATGGGGTATTTATCCCCCCCCCCCCCCCCAGCCAACATGTGTGGTCATTCTGCTGAGTAACAACTGACCCGGCTGCTTCGAGATACGAGCTAAGTGATTTTGTGTATCTGTGTAGTATTGTTTGATTTGTATGTGCTGATGAAAGCTCAATAGCCGCAACGTTCACGTTTTGTTTGTATTTGTTATATTGTGAAGCTTGCTTATATACTTTTTGTTTGGTGTTATATCTGTTCCAGAATTTGAGTTTTGCAAGGCACATCCGTTTCGCCAATCTAACTTATTTGGACGCAGACTGTTGGGTTCTTCTTGCTGACTGATGCATTCAAACTTTGAAGGAAAAATTCCTAACTAGTCGACTCTTACAACTGCTGTTTAAGTCGCAGTGGGTCTATTCTCTCCTCTCCCAACATAACTGAGGCCCAGGAGTAACAAATATGGAACCATCCTTTTTTTTGCCCACTTCTTCTTGCCACTGTATGTAAGATGGGCCTGTGTGCACAATTTGGGACCCTTTGAAAAAAAAGTTTGTTTATTCAAACTCAGGATGTGTCCAATATAGCGCCGCGCACCACCTCCTTTGTCTAATACCTGTTGATACCAGTAGTTGTCCCAACATATTTCCCTTACTTCTTCATCCTTCTTTGATTCATTCCATTTGATTTTTTCACCAATGTCCTCTGAAATTTGTTTGATTTCAACGCTGACAATTTTTTTGTGTGGCCCCGGAGATAATTAGGCCATGTGACTGATAAACAAATGGATCATCATACGCAGCAGGTACTGTGAAAACCTCTAAACTGAAGATGCTCCCAGTGTCAAGGTTTACACACACAAAATTACCAATAAAATAAAAGGACTACTTTCCTGATTCCAGGATTGTGGGTAAATAATGACAAAATCTATGTGTGCGATCTCCTTCAGGGGCGCTGTCATTAAAAAAAACTGGGGGGGAGTAAAAACGACAGCAATATGAAAATGAAAGACTGACAATTATATGATGAAAAATTAAATATTACAACATGAGGCACAGTTAAACACTGAAAAAAACTACAACTAGACAGATACACTGACAACAACATCCAATGACTGACTTGTTGACTGGTTGAGTGATGCCTTGTTCCTTGGCTCCAAGACCAGTGCCCTCCTTCCAGCCAAGCTTCATCAACATCTGGTAACCCATGTTCTCACAGGTCAGCTTGAACTCCTTGTACTCGGAGTAATCTGGCTCTCTTCCTTCTTCAAGGCCTGTCCAGAGCAGAAAGTTTCAAACTTTGATATCATCATGCTTTGAGTACCAAGGATACATCAGTTACATAAATCCTACTGGACAGAATAAACATGGACAATGTCTGCTAGTGAAGAAGAGGGTGAAGCATGTGGTGGTTGACCTGGGCCAGTGGAATCATAGTGCAATAAAGGTGCAGGGTATACAGGAGAGATAATGGGGATAACCTGGAATTTAAAAAATGTTTACGCTGCTGTTGATTTTCATGCCACACAGGAACAATGGGATTCGTTCATAGAGTTGGTGGAAATCCCAGGTAATAGGCTTCACATTTGTGTGGATTTCAATGCATGGGCCAGTACTGGGGGAAATGGACAAGGAAATGCTCTAGAAGTTATGGTGGATGCAGACATAATCTGTTTGGAAAAAAAAAAAAGGCGGTAGGCCAACTAGAATGGCAATGAGACCTGGTGATGCAGACATTGCTATTGATTTAGCTTGTTACCCAGTCAGAAGTGCTGGGCACAAAATGGAGTGTCCTAGGTAATCATTGAAGTGATCACCTTCCACACTGTCATGATTTCTAAAGCTACTAAGATCAGGGCTATGAGAATGCAGATGATTTATGAGTATGAGAGGGTCAATACCCTTCTTGAAGCCTCTGACTGAAGGTAGGTAACAGAATCATTAGCTCTGTTTTTGTGCAGCCTTCATGGTGGACTACAGAACTAAAACAAGCACAGAAAGCAAAAAACAGCATCAGTTACATGGATGTGGAGATGGCACAAAAAGGTTAGAAAAGACAAAGGTACAAGAAATCAAGCAATGTACAGCATTTGTAAAAAAAAAAAAAAAAAAGGCTACATAGGAACATTCTGCGTACAAAAATTAAAGGGGAAAAATCACTGGTAGGGTTCTGGAAACTACACAGACAGATGCAAAAAAAAGATCGGCCTATCTTAAAAGGCAGTATATATACAGATAATGGTATACTCATGACAAAAGACACAGATAAGGGGTAAGCATTTTTGCAGAGATTTATAGCACAAATTGATTGCAATTAAAGGGAAATTATAAATTCAGTTAGAGGTAATCTTCAAATACTATAAGTGATCCTTACTATCAAGATATTTTTAGTGTGAATGATATAAAATATATATTGCAAAAATTACACATACACAACGCTGGGCCACGCGCACAGGTATGTCCACATGAAGGGCATGAGTGATGAAGATGACTTGTAGCTTCAACCAGAGCATCACAACAGAGTTCTCTTCCTTTGAACCTTTGGGTTATTTTTTGTCCCCCCCCCCCCCCCCCCCACCCCCCCCCACCCCCCCCCCCCTCCCCCCTCCTTTGACCACGTGGGTTTTAGTGACATCCCTTGCTTTTTTTTTTTTTTTAGAAGTAGGTGAATCGATTCTTTAGGCACGAGCACACGGATATGCTGGCTCTAACAGCACCAGTGAGTGAAGACATTCATGAGCAAGGGAGTTAAGCTAACAAAGCAATTGCTGAGCAAAAACACAGCAGACAAAACTGTCTGTATAAGGATGATTCTATTTTGAATATATGAAATTACACTTGAGAAAACATACTGGCTGCAACTGCTGCGAAAGGGATATAGTGGATATAGTGAACAGAAAAATAATTGTTTGGTTTCCTTCACATCCGAGAAACACACAGATTCAAACTCACCCTGAAAGTCTCCATGAATTTTTCTAGCTCCGCTGGTGGAAGAAAATCTCCAAGGAAATGCTTGCCCCGAGCTCCTGAGGTTAATTTCTCTGCCCATACTGAAACAACAGATTATTTGTGAATGAGCACAAGTCTCCAAAACAAAAGATGTCTGCCCCCATGTGTTTGAATTGACTTTGTGTGGTTTAACGTGAAAAAATTATGAAAATTCACAATGAAACTAGCGGCTGATGAACCAGCCACTTCACAGGAAAGTGAAGTAGGTCTAGGCTTTTCACAGTACAACAGGTGATCAATACTTTGGCTGATTCAGACTCCGGGAAGTCAGAATTTCATCAAGAATATCTTTCCAGTTCAAGTGGCACAGATAATGAGAGCTCAAGTAATGAGGAGAATCTTGAACCTTATAGATCTAGAGCTAATCAATAGTAAGAGAAGGTAGGGGGGGGGGGGGGGGGGTGTCCCTTAACAGCTGATGGGGGAGATCTAGGTTATGATGAAGGTTGGATAAGGAATTTTGTATCCCAAATACAGATCTGAATTTCAATGAGGATGGAGAAGGCCCAGTGAACATTCCTAGATCTATCACAGAGAAGAGCTAACCGACTGACTGAAAAAAGCCAATTTATTTCACCAGATATATTCAGAAACTGTGCCTGCAACTTATTGGTGGATACAGAACATCAGCCCACCACCACCCACAAAAGGAACCCTGTCCTCAACAGATGACCCAAGGCAATCATTTTCCAGAGATTGCCCCTGGGACATAGTCTGATAATATCTGTGTCGTGTGCATGGAAAAGCACTCCAGGTACAACAAGCAAAATCCTGGAGTGTCTTACAGAAAAGACAATCCGTGCAAGAAGATGAAGAGCAACATCTGGTGCTCACTTTGCAAGAAGTACCTCTGTGTGAAACAAGGCTCATCCTGCTGGTGGATTGGCACACAAAGTTGGAATGGAAGGCAGACCTATTTTCAACAATGTCTCCAAGTTCCATCGTATTCTAACCACTTGTCTACAGTAACTATCATTTTTCAATATCACGCTGGTTTCTTTTCCTCTTTAATGCTCAGGAGCCCAGGTAAAGGGGACAGTTAGGCTGAGGGCCTCGGGTCTGGTAGGATTAAAACTGGAGAAACTAGTGACATCCAGTCACTAAACCAGACAAACTCTCCTGATGTATTAAACCCAACAAAACTAATGAAACTGATGTTGCTTTCCATCTTCTTTCCTAGTTGTGTAGGTTCCTACGCATTCTATAACCACAGGAACAAAACTGCCATCACTGCCTGTATTTATCACTGTTGCAATGTAAGTGGCTGTGTGTCTTTGAGCCTGAGGATTTGAGACCTGTGCCACTCATTGTGCAGGTAAGGATTTTATCTTTGCCCCGTATGGAAAAAACCCACAACCTTACTGAAGATTCGAACCTGGGTCTCCCGCATGAAAGCCCAGTGCTCTTAACTGTTAGACTTTAGAAACTCAAACCTGGGATAACTCCAACTCTCTACTTATGCCAACAGTATCACAGAACACACAGAAATGGAATTTCAAGATATCACAAAAGCAGAATTTCATAGCAAACACATAGACTTCGTTTTCACAAACTTCACATTCATACACTTAGTTCAAATAAAAAAAACTCCAAAAAACAAACAAACCAACCTTTGGTTGCTTCCATCTCGTTGGCTCTCTGTCTGTGCTCCCAGGTCCCACCTTCTGCTTCTTCATCGGAATCATATTCATACTTCCTTTTCACCTTGACCCCTTCAATCTGCGCCATCAATGCCTGTTCCTGCATTTTCTTCTGGGCCATCACCAGCTCGTACATAAAGTTCATCTGCAAGGTCACAGAATAAGCAAGCATTTTGACAAATTATGTTACGTTTTCAATCACAGTCAACGTCACTGCACATTAGGCATTCCCATGCATGCTCAGTCCTTCAATGCAGCAGCCACTCCAAAATACCTCTACTGATTGTTCCCATAAGAAGTTGGTTATAGTATCACCTGTCTTGACTCTGAAGACGGCATAGACATGCTTCACCAAGCTTTATTCCTAGGCCACACAATTGTGTTAGTGTCAAGAGATTTCCTCCAACCTAATGCATACTATACTATTACATCAGCTCTGTCCATGTTCGCATCAGTGTTCCTGTTGAGTATCGCAACAACATAATACTTTAGATACAAGTTGTTGGTTTTGTTCTGTGCCATCTCCACAAGGACGGTCGGCTATAAGAATAAACTCACAGGGAGCAAGTACAGCGGGGATCTACAGTCATCAGTAGAAATTATCCTCTTTCGACACACGTTTCGGCCCACGATTCCTAAACGTATTCGGAGGTGGGCCCACCTGAGTTCATGAAGCTCAGGGCTGCTTCCCCGCCGCACAGAATTACCGGATGGTGTTATACTTTCGGCCAGAGACAAGACGACTTGGTGGTTTCGAAGGAGGTACTGTGAGATAAGAAGCCGCCACGGCAGCTACAGTGTATCCACTGCTGTCTCTGGGAAGATTATGTGTCCAGGCTCCACTCTTTTCCACAGAGAGACTCTTGCATCACTGTCCTAGCATTTCTTTTTATATTCAAACTGTCCACTGTGGAAAATTAACATTAGTACTCAAGTATCATGAAACTGTTAAGAGCATTTACTAAACTAAGCCACAAAGCAGTGGTTTAAATCTGTTTTAACGTGTTCCTATGACCACCATTCTTCTATGTTTTATCTCAACCTGTTTAATAACCATTTATCTTCTGTCTTTCATTTCCCAATGAGTAGACCCTACACCTGTTCATGCCCAAATATTCTGAAGACTTTTCATACTGGGTTGAACTTTGTAGGTAGATGTCTACAGGCTGAGGCGGCCAGACCCATGCCAACTTTCCTACAGATTGAGCAGGGATGGGGATGCCCAGTGTGCAAAAGATGTTGATTGTGATAACATAATGCTAAGGGTGCGAGAAGTGGCGTATAGATTGGCACAGCCAGGCATTAAACTCACTCCAGACATAAAGAAGTCTTGTTAAATTCTTGCTAAACAATACAGCACTGGTACAATTAACCGCTGGAAGCTGATTTTTTTCTTCTACCCGTTCACTGGCTGTAAACTCTTGTGGAAACTTCTGGTAGTTCATCCACTTCTGCATTTTGGTCTTGTTTCATAACCTGAGTTTTGTGTGCACATCAAATTTGCAGATGTGGTTCATTTGTAAGCAGACTACTGGTTCCGTGCCTATGGCGAGATGCACTCTGTCTTCGAAGAAAACACCCATGATTAGTTTACAGTTACAACAACCTTTTGTCAAAATCTCTTTTTTTAAAACCTTATACACACACACACTTATTTATCTGTGAATAAATTATCCCTGGTAATGCAGACTTGTGCTCAACCTTGTGCTCCTAGTGTCAGACTTGGACACTGACTAAAGAACACAAGAGAAAACTAATCAACTGCGAAATGAGATATCCGAGAAAGGCTTTAAACACAAAACTAGAAGAGTTCATCTGAGAAATGAAGAAATTACAAGAACTATTGGAACAATGCCTATCATTAAGTTTATGAAAAACAAAGACTGAAATGGTGCCGCAATTTATTCAGAATGAATCCAACAATGCCAGCAACGAGAGCGTACAACAGGAAAGTAAAAACAAGAAGTAGGGGATGACCAAGAAGAAGATGGATTCGGGCCTGGAGACTCCACAACACCGCAGCAAACCGGGCACATCACAGCGTGCCTTAGCTTGGAAACCAAAGATCTGTTTACCTGCAATGCCTAGGGGCACAATGCAGAAAATGGACAAAAGAGAGAGAGAGAGAAATGTAGACTTCTAACATCATTACCTGGTTATAAAGACCAATGTTTTACCCCCCAGCCCCCATAATTGTTACACATCCTAATACATTCTAGGTTGGTTGTATTTTACTGTGGCTAAAGCTGGAGACAGGAAACAAGACTCACTTCCTGCTGCTCTTTGATCTGCTTCAGCTGCTCCTCAGAGATGGAGTCACTTCCAATCACTTTCCTGGCATAATCCTGCATGCTGACTGGTTTAGGAACTGTAAAGAATAAAGACAATGTTTGACGAGCGCAGCATGTCTTATATGTGTCTTCAAGAATGTTCTGGTTGTTTGTCTGTTTCTGCACTTTGGTCTTGTTCAACAATTTCAGTTTTGCCTACACAAACAAGTTTTACAAATCTGGCTTATCTTCATGCAGACTGTTGGTTCCTCATCTTTCAAACAGATGCACTCCGACTTGAAACAAAATGTTGATCCTAACTATATGCTGGTCGGACCCCTGACCAGACTTGGAACCTATTTCTAGGATGGCTGTGGAAAGGTGTCGACACGTCTTGACCTGGTTTCCGGTGTAGGATGACCACAGAGAAACATATAGACAGGTCTTGACCTGGTGTGGTGTAGGATGACCACAGAGAGATGTAGACAGATCTTGACCTGGTCATGGTGTAGGATGACCATGGAGAGGGTGTAGATAGGCCCTGATCGTCATGAGCCCCGGTCCTAGTGCACCTCCACACATGGTTGAGTGGATGAGACTAATGACACAATGGTTACACTCTAGAGTGGTAGAGAAGAACTGCACAGAAGAAAATCATATCATAAGATTTGGTTCCTGCTACTCTAATGTGAAACCGGAGAGTTGACTGCTCATCCAGGAAATTAAGGTATTAACTTATTCAAGGTCACATCCTATGTATTCTACTGTACTGTATAAGGAGAATGTACTGACAGCCAAGATATCCTTCTGTTCCGTCTGCTGGTATTTCTTCAGTCTCCCGGGCTTTACTGAATAATCTGTGTAGCAATTCCGTCGATGTGTTTGGCCTTGATATTTTTTGCTGCTATATCATGTGGACCTGAAGCCTTTCCTTCTTTTAGAGGATTTGATAGCATTGTACATTTCCTCTTTAGATGGTATCCAGTTTTATTTCTAAAGGCTGGATATCTGGAGGGACCTCTGGCGAGTATTTAAAAATATTCAACCCATCTGTCCATTTAATCTTTAGTGTTAGTACCTTTCCTTGGCTATTTTGCAGTTTGTAGCATTTTCTGGCTTCAGATTTCTACAGGTTTTTTTTATAGAACGCATGAAAGATTACAGTGTTGCTATTCTTTGCTTCTGATAATGCACAGCCAAGCATTTTAATTTTTAACAGTGAGTCCCAAGTAAATTATAAGTATAAATATACATAATCAATAGATTTTATTTGATTCTATACTGCAAGGTAGAAGGCTCTGCAAAAACAGACGTCAGACAAAATCTGGCTCACCAGGTATCTGAGATCGTGGAGGAAGTGCATGTTGCTGGATTGTGGCTAAACCACCGAGCTGTATGTTGGTAGCAATGCCTGCAGCCGAGATAACAAACACATAATTAACAGCAAGATGATTTGACACACATACGTCATCAAATAAACAATCACAGAATTACAATTCCTGCACTCAGGATATTGCTGCACACTCTGACCTTCGGCAGCCAACCCAGTGTTTCCCTGTTGACACTGCCATTAACAACCTCATTAAAAGACCGCTACACATTCCCCCTGTGGGCTGAGCATCATCCAAGCCCTCTACTCACCGAATTCGTGATGCTAGGTGTGAATACTGTTGATTATATCATCCAGCAAGGACAACTGGACTTTAAAACCGTGGGGATTATTTTTTTTTTTAAACTCTACACTTAAAATGAAGCAAGCTCTCTCTACACCTCGGGAAAGAGAGGGGTTGGGGGTGAGGGGTTGGCGACACTGAACCTGACAGAAGCTATGTGTTGGGGATTACCCAAATACCCAGTGATTTTGTAAGTACTACTTTCCATGTGGGTTTAAGGAACCGACTGGGGGGGGGGGGGGGGGGGGGGGAGGGAGATCAACTGACTTCCCAACAAGCATCTCATTAGAGTTGACTAGCTGGGTGCTTCCTTCAAACTGGGAATTCATGTGCCAGAAAGGCAGGAAACCAAATGTCTGCATACAAATAAGTCACATTTGTAAAACAGATATGCACACAGCACTCAGGCTCTGGAGCAAGACAATAGGCCGAACAAAGAACAAGAACTTTCAGCTGGAGTTTACAGCCAGTGAATATGAAAAAGAAGAAGATTGCTATAACAATCTGATGCCAGTTAAAGTAATGGCATGAGATGATGGTGACAAATCTTTGTTAAGCACTCTATTAGGATTTCTGGTTCAAGTACCCACTCTAGTGAAATGTGTGGCTCACGTTGTTGTGAGAGAAAAAAGTGGTGGACGGCTGACCCTCGAAAAATGGCCATTAACTAGAAACAACCATTGAAAACTTCTCTTCTAAAGCATTCCTCTTAAAAAAGGCAGCTGGTACATTGTGCCGAGGTTTGCGGCAAGACTGCGATATCTGTGTCTTTCTACCCAACACATTCGATTTCAGTGACACATTTAATTAGTAGCTTTTATTGACATACTTTTAAAACGGCAGTGGGTATATCTCTGCATCCCCCCTCCCTTAAAAAAAGAGCCCAGAAACCACACTGCGACAACTGAGAAACCTCACACACACACGCACGCAAGAGAGAGAGAGAGAGAGAGAGAGAGAGAGAGAGAGAGAGGGGGGGGTTCTATAATGGTCATGTGCTCTTACAGAGTTTTTCTCATAAACTTCACAAGCAAATGGTTTTACTGAAGCAATTACAAAATGGGACAAAATAACTCACCTGGCATAGCTGGAGCACCCAGTGATGTCACAGAAGCGATCCCTGGAGGAGCTAAAGTTGGCAGGACAACTCCTGGAGGTGCAAGAGTTGTAGGAGCAGCTATCCCAGGTTGAGCTAATGGAGCTTTCTGTTCACTCCACCGCGACTTGCGCTTCTTTCGGATTGGTTGCCTGCTTTCCTCATTATCTGTAAGACAAGAGGGGCCCCTCTGTTAGCTTGGGATGGAAAGGGGGAAGAAAAGGAGAGAAACAAGCCCATATTCTCTTCTTCTTGTTCACCGGGTGTGAACTCCAGCAGAAAGTCCCTAATATTTGTCCACCTCTGGACTTAAAAAACTTAAATTTTGCATGCAGATCCATTTTCCAGATCTGGCTTATTTGTATGCATACTGTTGGTTCCTTGCCTGACAGGCAGAAGTGCTCAGACTTCAAAGGAAACTCCCTTAATTAGTCACTTTTTTATGAAATGCTTGATTAAATGTGACTGAGGCCCTGTTAGGGTATATTTTCGGCCTCGATAATTTGGGACCCCTCTTGGAGAACACAACCCTACATACATAATAATTTAACTTAAAAGAATGAATGCACATAACACAGCATATACAGCTGTTTGGGTCAGTGGGTAGAACAGTGACATACCAAGCACATCAGACTGCAGATAGCTCTGGCATCTTCTTTTCCTGGCACCTTTCCATCTGTGCAGAATCTGGTGAATGTCTAAGACGTTATTACGCTGACTCCTAACCCTTTAGCCCAGAGACAACATAAACCAGCATTTTCATCTGTTATTAACAATCTGAGAAGATGGAAAACTGTGCAAAGCTAGTCCCCAAGAAGAGACAGTTGACAGCATCAGTGAAATGCAGCACTGCAGTGTTTAGGAGAATTGCAGTGTTTTTTTAAACTAGAAATAGCATTTGAAGGAGGTTTGCAAGGGGGGGGGAGGGAGCATATATTTTAAAGCCATGATGACATCATAATTAGGGTCATGAGGGCGTGCAATGAGTCACCATATTAATCATATTTTTCAGGCCCAAGGAAGTGTAGACATTTAACTTTCCACTCCATTTTGTGTTCATTGATTACTCCCCCTTCATTTATTCCTTTAGGGGAAAAAGCTTCAAAATGTATTTTGTCTTTTTCTTTTCTGTCTACTGACTGTGTTGTCCCAAATTATCATTGTCTACTGAAAATGTTGACTTTAACAGGGCCTAAGTCACATGCCAATTTGACATCCGCTGCCACGCCGAGAGTATCTTCCACACTGGCGTTCGATATCAGGCAAACTAGATGGCTGGGACCCACGAATAAAATGAAAACTGCAGGATTGTGCGTTTAAGCTCGTGAGTCCCGGTCCCCCATAGTTTAGCTGCAATCCATGCCTCCTTTGGGCCGGCGCCACAGATCTTCGGCTGGGTGGAGGCAGTCGCAGAACTGCGTATTTGTTGAGGGGTTTGTCTGTTAGGGTCCACAATTTCGGCCTCGATAATTTGGGACCCCTCTCGGAAGATAGCCTCATTTTGTTTTATTTACGAGTGACCTGTGAAAAGTTTAAGAATTCATTTTGTTCTTTCCTGTTGAGTTTGTTAATGCTGTTTAAATTAGTATTAAGTAATAACAAAGGTAATAAATACAGAGGTTATAGAGAGCTTGAAGGAAATTTTTTAGATAAAAAACTGCTTTAGCGAAGATTTTTTAGATATTATTGTAGCTGTGTGGTGGATGAGGTTGTGAGAGATTATTCCCAGCTTTACTATCACTCAATCGGTGCTCTCTCATTTCCTTGAAAACAGTAAAGCTGGTATCACTGCAAGACTAGACTTTTGCTTCCTTGGAGAGTAAAGCCAATGTTGTTTGACTCTGTTGTCTTAGATCAGCAATATTTTGTCTTGTTTTTTTGTGATGAATGTGCTTGGAGAACAGACAATGAGTCGCAAAGTAGAAGATATATGGTGCCCTAATCTGCAATGTTGAGTGACTGAGATGTTGGACTGCAATCATGTCTATGCAGTTGTAAAAAATCAGCTCTTTAGAAGTTCTCTGCATTTATTGTCTGTTGACCTGTTGCTGACTTTAGAGAGAGACTTCATGCTCTACTGACTAGGTTATTTTTGTCTTTGACTTTCCCCCTTTCTGACTGCATCTGTAGCTTTGAGCCGTTGTCTACTGAACCTGAGACTTTGTGGTGTTACTGATTCTTTTGTCTTTGACTTTGACTGCTGCCACTGTTGTCTTTGACTTTATTGTATGTAGAATCTGTTGTCTGTGACTTTATAGTCCACTTACTTTTGTTTTTTGTCTTTGACTTTATTATCTGTTGTCTTGGACTTTGTTGTCTTTTGACTCTTGTTTTTGACTTTATTGTTTGCAGACTCTGTTGTCTTTGACTTTATTGTCTACTGACTGTGCTGTCTTTGACTTTGTCTATTGTCACTGTTGTCTCTGACTTTATTTTCTGTTGACTCAATTGACTCTGATGTCTTTTCTTTTGACTTTATTGTCTACTGACTCTGTTGTCTTTGAATTAAATGTCTACTGTCTCCTGTTGTCTTTATTTTATTGTCTGTTGAATCTGTTACATTAGACTTTATTGTCTGTTGAATCTGCTGTCTTTGACTTTATTGTCTACTGACTCTGCTGTCTTTGACTTGTCTACTGACTCTGCTGTCTTTGACTTGTCTACTGACTCTGCTGTCTTTGACTTGTCTACTGACTCTGCTGTCTTTGACTTGCCTACTGACTCTGCTGTCTTTGACTTTATTGTCTACAGACTCTGCTGTCTTTGACTTTATTGTCTACAGACTCTGCTGTCTTTGACTTTATTGTCTACAGACTCTGCTGTCTTTGACTTTATTGTCTACACTCTGCTGTCTTTGACTTTATTGTCTTTGGCTTTACTGTCTACTGACTCTGTTGTCTTTGCCTTCTTTGTCTGTTGACTGACTTTATTGTCTACTGACTCTGTTGTCTTTGACTTTATTGTCCCCAAACATTATTTTACCTCCACATTCATCATCTGCATCCACTTCTGCTTCATGTTTCACAGAGGATTTCAACAACTGGACAACTTTCCACTGGAAGTACTTGTAAGTATCGCTTGTTGGGTTTCTCAGGAACCTGCGCAACAATATGTTAGTCAGTTAATGAAAAACTACATAATTCAGAGAAGTGGTAATACTGAGAACAGTGCCCATTTTTGCCCCCAATTCTTATATTCTTAGCAATGATGTGGACACGCTGCTCCCAAAATCCTCATATCGTCCTATCTCTCTAAGGGTGTTAACAATGTCAGCAGAATCCATAGGCCGACCATCTGCGAACAAGGCACAATCAGCCAATCCATCAACCTCAAACTGATGCACTGGTAAAGTAAACTTCAGGATGAACTTTCAGGGGAAGATAATTTCTTGTGACATTTTAGGATAATCTTTTGGGAAATTTTAGGACAAACTTTTGGGAAATGTTAGGTTGACCTGCTGGTAAATTTTAGGGTAAGCTTTAGGAAAGTTTATGACGAACTGTAAAACTTTAGAAAACTTTCAGACACATTTTAGGAAACATTTCGCACAAGAAAACTAAAGGAATTAAATCGGTTACAACAGTCAGGGTAATATTATGACATATAATGCCAAAGTTTTACAGATGCTATGCGTTTTAGGTATGGATCAAGCTGAAATACTGTCTCTCTACGAGAAGTAAGATGTTTGCGAGAATCAAATACAGACTGAATCTGCAACCATGTTAAACAGAGTGTGGCCAAACATAAACACTATGGTGGAAGCCAAAGAAGAATAACATAACATAATCCTTGACTTGTGAAGGTGTACTAATGGAAGCACTAGCACATAAAACCTGTCGTCTTTCTCCGTCTTCCCCTTGACGAATAAATGTGTGATAACTTAGTCCTGTCCATTTCTTGATGTTGTCATTCCAGGTTTTTCTTTGCCCTTTCTCTCCTTTGATACCCCCCAATGTTCCTTGAAGCAGTCTTTGCAATCGAATCATATCTCACCAAGTGCCTGAATCAAGCTAGCTTGCAATGTTTTAAAGCTGCCAAGAGAGGCTCTTGATGTCAGGCAAATTTGTATATTTTGTCTCTGACATATTTATTAGTTTTGTGTTCTACATAACTAATTCGTAAAATGTGTCAATAGTATTTATATTCAATTGCCTGAATCTTGTTTCAACATCCTATCGCTTATACTTCTCGTCCTTTTTAGGATGACATTTTTCATTATTTGAAGCCCTACTCTGGCTCTTGCCAGGGGCCGCAATATAGCCTGGCCATAAATATGGCCTAAAGGCTGAACACGGTTTCTGGGACCTCTCCACGGTGATCCTCACCCACATGGTGGCACATTGTGTCATCGGGTGTTTATCGCTTGTGTGATGTCCTGGTGGGGTGGAAAGTCAGTCAGCCCGAATCCTCTTTTCCATCTCCACAGTGAGAGTCCAATTCTCACATCCGTATAAGAAAATAGACAATACCAGTGAGTTATATATATTGACCTTAACAGCGATGCTGACTTTGCTCTTCCACATCGCATTTAGCTGGGACATCTCGGAAGAAGAAGAATAAACCAACACAGAACTGGTATCAGTGGGATTTGCGGAGGAGGGGATTCGAGCCCGGGGACTGAATGGTGTCATATACAACAATAATAATTATAATAATATAGGACAATCTACCAACTAACTAACTTGTTAGGTTCATCATCATCATCCTGCTGTGTTATTATGCATGACATAAGGCTCCCAGTTTCATCCTCCATTCTGCTTTATCCTATGCAATCCATTCAATGTCACAGATTGAATCTAGTCCAGCAACTTTGGACTCACTCAACAATGTCCCTCTTGTATTATCTAATCCAGCACCTTTGGACTCACTCAACAATGTCCTTCTTGTGGTGTCTCAGCCAGCACCCTTGGACTCACTCAACAATGTCCTTCTTGTGGTATCTAATCCAGCACCTTTGGACTCACTCAACAATGTCCTTCTTGTGGTATCTAATCCAGCACCTTTGGACTCACTCAACTATGTCCCTCTTGTGGTATCTAATCCAGCACCTTTGGACTCACTCAACAATGTCCTTCTTGTGGTGTCTCAGCCAGCACCCTTGGACTCACTCAACAATGTCCTTCTTGTGGTATCTAATCCAGCACCTTTGGACTCACTCAACAATGTCCCTCTTGTGGTATCTAATCCAGCACCTTTGGACTCACTCAACAATGTCCTTCTTGTGGTGTCTCAGCCAGCACCCTTGGACTCACTCAACAATGTCCTTCTTGTGGTATCTAATCCAGCACCTTTGGACTCACTCAACAATGTCCTTCTTGTGGTATCTAATCCAGCAACTTTGGACTCACTCAACAATGTCCTTCTTGTGGTATCTAATCCAGCACCTTTGGATTCACTCAACAATGTCCTTCTTGTGGTATCTAATCTAGCACCTTTGGACTCACTCAACTATGTCCCTCTTACGGTTTCTCTTAGACGTCTTTACTTCCTCAATCCATTTGTTTCTCATTTCAGTGCATATTTAGTGATTCTCTACAAAAGCAACAACAACAAACCTTTCACATGAGACCTTATCTGACAGATAACATACCAGTACAAAGGATCTGCAGCACGTTCCTCCAGGGCTCGCTGCTCTGCCTGTGAGCCAGACAGCATGACTTGTACAGCCAACTGTTCTATGACATTTCGAGTTTCTTCATCTTCTGGGGGACAGACTAGAAGCAGGCTGGGTCAACTTAAGCTCCTACGAATTGTTCTGAATAGATTTTCAATAAGATCATGGACATAGACATCCGTCTATTCCCAGGTGTTTCCTTTTCATACTCATTTTTGTCCCTCAGGAGTTAACTCACTAGCCAGATAAACTAAGTGTTCAGCCGGACACTTCTTCTTCTTAGTTAACCTTTAAAAGGGTGGCTAACACACTGTTTGGTAGTTTACAGCTAGGCTGCGATATCTGCGCCTGTCAGCACAATACATATGACTTCAGCAAACCTCTAATTATTCGCCTTTTAAGATATGCTTGTTAGAGAATGAAATGCTGCGAGTCTACTTCGCCCCCCCCCCCACTCTCCACCCCAATACAGCCCAGAATTCACACAGGAACGTGTAATACTGGTTCTCAGATATGACATTATCAGTATTTTAAAATGCACACTACTCTATATTTAAATCTCATTGCACCATAAATATATTTAAAAGATAATGCATTTGCTAATTTAAATTTAGCTATAAATTTAACTCAAACTGACTAGGTGACCTACTCATTAAAAGGTTACCTGCATACATTTACAGAGATAGCATTTACTGACTTCTGGGCACTTTACTAAGTAATTTTTCATTCAGTAGCTCGCTACTCTGTTTTATGCATAAAAGACGCTCATGCTGTTGTTAAAATTAATGCAAAGCTGCTGCGACCAAATCGCATGCACCCGACTTCCAACCCTGTATGTCATGACTGTGAAAATATGTGTTCACAACCCTTAGGCCACAGACTTTGACATAAAGGACAGAGAGAATCGTAACAATGAGATTCAAAGACAGTAAACATCCCAGGTCGATCTAGCCTAAAACAGGTATCAGATAATGTCCCGAGAAGTAAAGGCAGCCAACATGATGATGATTACATAGGCCACTATCAAAACAGTAACCTGGCATCAAATGCTGATGCGCCAATGGCATAAAAAGCGTCCTTAACTTTTTGTTTGCAGTGAAACTAAAAGCTTGCTGTGTAAGTTCCAGGGCCCCATTTAAGGGAGGAAAAACAGACCCACTGCCTCCTTATCGAGCATGTCATAAAAGGCACCAATTTAAGAGATTTTTTGAAGAGGCGAGGAACCAGCAGGCCGCATACAAATAAGCAGATTTGTAAAATGGATGTATAAGCACAAAATTCCAGTTCTCAAACAAGGCTAAAGTCCAGAAGCGGACGACATCCTGAACTTAAAGCTGGTAAATGCTAAACAGAAGAGGGGGAAAAACAACAAAGAGCTAGAAAAACTTCAGCAATTATTATTTTTATGAAACAAGACTTGTCTTGAATGAAACAGGAATTATTCTTTTATGAAACCAGACTTATCTTGAATGAAACAGGAATTATTTTTTTAATGAAACTTACCTGGTGGTTTGTGCTCATTTGTGAAAACATCTGAGAAACCAGATGAAACAAAGGACACAGCAGACTTTGGATGGTTCTTCTTGGATCCAGCACTGGGAAAAACAGAGAGCAACATTCAATAAATTGTGTGCAAAAAACAAAGTAATCCAGCATACAATTTTCTCACGAGCCATTTATTTACAAAATTTACACACAATATACAAAGATATGTCAAGTAAACATCGGTATTATTCAACCTAATCCCCATCAACTAGTGCAGCTTTATGCCAGACCAAAACAAGTGCATGTATTCCTAGCCTACATCAGATTTTTTCCTGATCGTGTAGATTTTCTTTGCTGCATGAATCTTCTTCTTCTTCTCCTCTTCCACTTTGTACCTCAGTGAAGTGTCGGGGAGAGATGTAACATACGTTAATGATCTCTGTCAGGAGCACTATTAAGACTGATGTTCATTTCTGTAAGGCACTTAATGCCATCAGTCCATATTTTCCGAGGTCTTCCGCTCGCTCATTTGTGTCCAAACCACTTCATTTGTTTCTTGATGACCTGTAAGACTAGCTTTATTCCTTGCATTCGTCTGATTTCATGATTTTGTTTTCTGTCTTTCCTTGAAACTCCCGCAGCTCTTCTAAGGCATTTCATTGCTGTATGAATCATTTCATCATAATTAAACCTTGACCCACAGAGTTTATCTTTAATTGGACCAAACAGATGAAAATCAGAGGGTGCCAAATCAGGACTACAGGGTGGATGGGTTAGTACAGTCCAACCGAATTTCATGACTGCTTCCCTTGTTGCCAGACTTGTGATGGGGTGCACTGCCATGGAGGAGAAGCAGATCTGCTGGACCTGTGCAGCTGAACGATCTTAGCCAAAAAGTTATCTCCATCAATACTAAAACGTGCACACACTAAAAAAATCAGAAGAAATGGCTTTCCTTTGCCATCAGTGTCATTTGTGAGACTTTCAGCAACCCATTTTGTGCAAACCCTTTTAAAATTTGAGAATTGTTATAAATGTATTTGCACTACCATTACTGACTGACAGCTGTGGGGTCAACTGTTAAGTGATGATTTACCTATCTACATTACTGACTGACAACTGTTGAGAGGTAATTCCCCTATCTACATTACTGACTGACAGCTCTAGGGCCAACTGTTGAGTGGTGATTCACTTATCTACATTACTGACTGACAGCTCTAGGGCCAACTGTTGAGTGGTGATTCACTTATCTACATTACTGACTGACAGCTCTAAGGCCAACTGTTGAGTGGTGATTCACCTATCTACATTACTGACTGACAGCTGTGGGGCCAACTGTTGAGTGGTGATTCACCTACCTACATTACTGACTGACAGCTGTGGGGCCAACTGTTGAGTGGTGATTCACCTACCTACATTACTGACTGACAGCCATGGGGCCAACTGTTGAGTGGTGATTCACTTATCTACATTACTGACTGACAGCTGTGGGGCCAACTGTTGAGTGGTGATTCACTTATCTACATTACTGACTGACAGCTGTGAGGCAAACTGCTGAGTGGTGATTCACCTATCTACATTACTGACTGACAGCTGTGAGGCAAACTGCTGAGTGGTGATTCACCTATCTACATTATTGACTGACAGCTGTGAGGCAAAGTGCTGAGTGGTGATTCACCTATCTACATTACTGACTGACAGCTGTGGGTAGAGTGGTGATTCACCTATCAGTAAGAATAATGCCCTCAGCACATTTCAACATTTCCGCGGGGGTGGATGTGGCAGGACATCTAAAGCACAGCCAATCAAGCAGCCCAGCATCTCCACTTCCTGATTCTTTTATTCTCGGAACCCAGTGAGAAACGGTGTCACAAATTGTAGCTTATAGCACAAGTTGCTAATATGCTCCATTTCAACAGTTTAAAGCAGCCATATTATGTGACCAGCTGCGATGTAATTTACATATAATCCTCACATGTACATTTGAAGTGCGCAAAAATACATGCTTCTACCTTCACTACCAGCTGAGAAAAATGCTGTGATGCATTAGTTTCTGAACGCCCCTCTTACATAAGAATGAGGTCTTGTACGTTCTCTCTCTAAAAAAATACAACTTACAACGAGATGTCGTTAGCTCGACCAGATGATGAGCTTGATGTGTGTGGTTCACTTGTTCCTTGGCCTATTACAAAAAGAAAAGAGAAAAGAATGTAAATAACATTTAAGGAACCCTTATCCATGGCAAACAATAGGATCTGGCCTTCAAGATAATGCCAACAAAACTACAACTAAATACCATGCTTTTATCTAAGGTCCCACCCGCTCCCCACCTCGCCAAATAAGTATGTCTTAAGAATCTATTAATTAAGGGTGTTTCCTGTAAAACTGTACATAGTATCTGCCTGAGTGGTGAAGAACTAACAATCTGCATACAAAGAAGTCAGATCTGTAAAGCGGATGTGCATGCACAACTCTAGTTCTGGAATAAGACTTTAAGTTGTGAAGTGGATAATCATCCAGAACTTTCCGCAGGAGATTATGGCTGGTGAATGCTAAAAAATGTATATGGAAAAATTAGAGCGCATACAGAATGCGGTTATGAGGGTCATTCTAGGTTGTACCAGAAACATCCCAGTGGTGTGTATGCAGTACAACCTTGGTTTGCCAACTGTTGCAGGTAGGCTGAAGTTGCTGCAGGCGAAGTCATATCTCAGAGTAGCTGCATGAAGCTCTGGGAGCAGTTAAGAGTCTGCGGCAGATAAGAGGGAAGTCATGGACGGCTCAGGCAGGAGACACAATCAGACAGGTTTACATCCTAGAGAACATTAGGTGAGGAGAGGAGTGGATCAAGGTGCCAGCGGAACAGTCAGATTTGTGTAGAGTCATAATTACATTGAGCAGGGAGTGCAGAGAGTGGCCAGCAGGTGCCAGCGAGGTGGAAATTCAGCAATTAATTCAAGATAATGCTCGCTCAGAGGATGTGATTATTTATACAGATGGTTCAGTGTCAAGAGGCAAAAGAAGTGCTTGGGGTTTCTTAGCAAAAGTTAATGGTCGACATTAGGTGCAGGAGAACCTAGCGTATGATACCACAACATCCAGCTTAAGAATGGAGGTGGAGGTGGTAACTGCAGCTTTCCGCTGGTTAGAGAACACGACACACAAACACACACCGTGATTGTAACTGACTCAGAAAGCATTCTGAGGAAGGTCAGGACAGGCATACTTCCTGCGGATGGCACGCTTCACTGCGGAAGTCACGGGTTTGAAGTATTGTCTGGATCTTTTCTCCAGGATATGCCAGTGTGTTGGGTAATGAACAGGCGGACAGACTGGCTGGCTCTGCATAACTTAGTGGAATACTGATGCATGATAAGGCAGACGTGGTTAGGGCTGTGTGGGAAAGCGTGTACATTTCATGAGACTGATGCAGCAGGGAGTAACAAGGAGTTCTGGCAGATGCTCGAAGCTCAGAGGAAAGGCAAGACAGACGTTTAATAAGAATGCTACTGGCATCATTAGTACTGGAACACTGGGCTGGCTGCTGAAGATGGTGACGGGGCGCTTATGGGAATGCCCCGAGTGCTGTGATGTCAGTTCTTGAATCAACTCAACTCTTAACAAATTCCAACCGAATGCCTAGGATGAAAAAAAGAAATATAACACAAACTTTTTACTTTTTTTTTAAAAAGAGAGAACGTTAATAAAAAACAATATTTTGAGGCATTCTCTTTCACCTACCTTCCATATCATCAGTTGGTGCAGCAGGATCATATTCCTCTGCCTGTTGTTGCACTGCTGGTCTTTTGGCTGCCCCAGCAGTGACTACAGGGTTGACTGCTGAAATGATAGGTCCATACATGCCAAATTCTTGAGGGGCAGTAGTTGGGGCTGCTGCTGTGGAACCATACATGTTCATTTGTGAGCTCACTGGCAGCGATGGTTGACCTGGCAGAGACAGATGACTGTACACACTGCTAGTGGGAACTGATGCTCCGTACATGCTTACAGCCTGTGACAGTGGTAAATTGGACACTAACATGGGTGGTGGACCAGACAAAGGTAGGGTTAAGGGAGTGCTGGATATGCGTGAGGCATACACATTAGGGGTTGAGTTTGGAGGAAGGGAAATTGGGTTATACACTCCAGAGGGCTGAGATTGAACTGGTAACATTGCAGCCTGGGCAGAGGTGAAACTGGTCATGAGTGGAGGGGGAGGGATGTGCATGGGTACATTTGAAGCCATGACTGGCTGTATGGGTGAAGGTGAGTGGTGCACGGACAGGCCAGGGTTAGGGGCAGGTGGTAGAAATGGAGGGGGTGCGGTGACATACATAGTGGGCTGGATGACTTGTGTAGGTAGCATTGATGCACTGGAGTTTGTCACCAGAACCAAGTGAGAAGCCTGGGTGGAGATGGGCAACATGTCAGTGTTCTGTAACTGCTGGACAGCCATGCTGGAGAGGTTGTAGGAGGTAACTTGGAGTGGAGGCTGGCTGTATAAGTGTGGCATGATGTGAGTGTGCTGTGGAAGTGCTGAGGTTGGTAGCATTGTTGCACTTGTCACTGATGGCGCTGTCATGTTCTGAACCATCATTTCCGCACTTGAAACTGAATGCATGCTCACTGTAGCCTCAGGGTTATAGTATGGGCCAACTTGTTGAGATTGTGGTTGCAGAGCTGCATAGCCAACTTTCCAATCAGCAGCAGTAGATTCAGCAGACTCTGAGTCCTCACCACTGGATGTCACAGACGCACCTGTCCGAGAGGTAGCAACAGACTGGTCGTAGTCACTCGAGCTATAAGCTGTAACTGTAGTGTCCTGTGGCTGTGATAGAGGAACTTCTTGTTTCACTTCACATGGTCCATACTTCCCAAAGCCGCCAGACTGTTCGCTGAAATATACATAAACATTCTAATTAGCAACTTCAACGGAAAGGTAAACCCCCAACCAACTTTTTTTTGGTTTTTCAAAATTATCAAATTTTACTTAAACTACATGAAAGTTTATTCATATACTGCACATAACAACGCATGCCTTGTTGTAAAACTCTATCTTAAAGTAATTGTAATTATTTTTTTTTTAAGCAAAAATTACTCACCTTTTACTCTCACAAGATAAAATATGCAAGAATTCACAACTGTTTTACTGTCACAAGAGGAAACATGCACTAATTCAACAACTGTTTTACTGTCACAAGAGGAAACATGCAATAATTCAACAACTGTTTTACTGTCACAATATGAAATGTGCAAGAATTCAACAACTGTTTTTATTGTCTTCACAAGATAAAATGTGCAAGAATTTAACAATTTTACTGTCACAAGATGAAACATGCAAGAAGTGAGCACCTTTTATCGTCACTGTCTTCAACTTCTTGTTTGATTTCAAGGGCAACTGCCTCTTTAGACTTGAAAGATGGCAGCACAATAGCAGGTCCAGGTTGCTTGTGGTACTTCTGGCTGTCCAGTTTTGATGGCTGTGGCGTTTCAACTTTGACCTTGGTCTGCAACAGAGCTTTGCTCTCGGACGATGCTGTGCTCTTCTTGATCAAACCTGGCAAAAAGCATTGCAATAAAACTAAATTACTGTGCAAATTTTCATGCAATTAAAGCTGGTAACATCCTAACTCTTTGTGTCCCAACATTGTGCGTGTGTGTGATCTGCTAAGCATGGTGTGATGTTATTCCTTTTTTACATTTGGCCTGAGAATTATAAACTGTTTTTTCTGCATTCGCCCTTAAAAAGGCAGTTGTGGTTTACAGCTAGGCTGCAATATCTGCTCCTTTCTGCCCCCAACACATGCTAAACATCACAGGGACCTGGAGAGAACAGGGATGGAGGGTAGTTTCTGGAAAATGAGACAGAGGCTGGATACAAGACACTGAAGCGCACTGGCTAAGAAAGCATACAGAGTTGGAAACTGGATAGTGAAAGAGAAACTTTGAAATATGCCGTGACGAGCGCGACGTTCTGTAAATGACCAGCTGATTGATGACAATTGCAAACTCATTTGATGGAGAAAAAAAAATGATTTATAACAACTGACCTTTATCCTGTCCTGTCATTTTGCGGAACTGGTCCATGAAGCTGCCATCATTGCTGAACATGTTCATGGTCAACCTAGCCTTCTCACTGGACTTTGATCCAAGCCTGCAATACCAGAAGAATAGTGTGTTCTATTACCATATTTTATCATAAATATACACTTAGAAAACACTGCAAAAAGATATCAAACAATATCATATGAAATGAAGTGCAGACGAGCAAACAGATTATCATGGTCTGCAAAGAGTGATGCAGCGGGCAGTGACCAAAGGATCTGGCCAACATCCTCTTCTTCTTCAGCGATCTTCTTAGGTGATCTCTGGTCATGCGCTTTATCCACTGCAGGCCATAAACTTGCATGTCATCTCAAGGTCTCTTAGGTTTCCCCAAAGTCTTAGTAGTTAGGTCTGCTGGGTGTGACCACATGTTTCACAGCTCCGCCAAGAGAGAACAGTCTTGCAAGACATGTTCTGGAGTCTGTTCAGTACAAAGACACTGGCAGAGAGCTGTTTGGCACATAACTAATTTATACAAGTGTTCGGTAAGTCTGTTTGCAATGTCCAGTGCGCAAGAAAAAAAACTGTTCAGGTGTTTGAAGAAATCTTTTCATGGTTATAACCTGTTTTAGTTTGGAAATCTTTTTCGGTTGTTGTGTGTGAGTGTGTACGTGTGTTTTCTGTAGGACCACTCTCAAAACTGTTTAGGGGTGGGGAGTTGCTCAAAGTGCCTAGGTTCTGGTGCTACTGTTGTAGTGGGATGTACAGACAAGCACTGGAGAAACATACCAGCTGACGTAACAGCAAAACAAAAGCCACAAAAAGCATACTGTCATAACTAAGATACTGACTGTTTTCAAAACACAAAAGTCACATAAAATCATCGCACTTACAAACGTGCAGTGTTGGCACTGGATGTAGATGAAGGTTTCGCTGTAGCAGCTGCTTTCTCCTGCACTTCCAATTTTTCTTTGTACTGCCTCACTCTCTCTTCCAGAAACTTCTCATAAGCACCAATGTCTAGTGGGACTTTTCCCAGATCTTGACCCGGTCCTTTCTTTTTTGCTGACATTGTAAAGTCTGTCTGCAGGTGTCAGCTGTGAAGATACTTGTCTGAACAATCTGGTGAAATCACAGACTCAAAACTCTTGTCTCAGATCTAAATAAACACAAAATAAAATGACTAGAAACTCTGGTCTGTCCCATTTGTCCCACTTTGGGTTGTTACCTGAAACCTAAGATTAGAAAATCTTAATTTGGATAGTAAACCAACAGGGCTAACCCTGGTTGCTCTATTTAACCTCTAAAGAGGTAACAATGGGTGCTCTCACAATGGCACACCAGCCTGATGTTACATCTTGTAAGGAGGCTAAAAACCAGAACCCCGGGGTGACTCAGGATCTGCTGGGAAGACAACATCCGACAGTCCCTGACTGATAGAGGACTGGAATGGAACAAAGCCAGAAAGAAAACTGCTGATAGAAAAGTCTGGTGGTATTTCTGGCAAATCTCTACACCCCTAGGTAGAAGAGGTGTGACTAAGTAAGTATTGCTCTAATGGATGGTGAACGAATGCCTGACAATCTAGATGTGGTCAAGGCCCTTTAGGAGCAAGTGAATCATACAGAGGCCCAAACAGAACAGCATGAAGAGAATGGTGCAGCGGGCAATGACCATGTGGTCAAGGCCCTTTGGGAGCAAGTTAATCATACAGAGGCCCAAACAGAACAGCATCAAGAGAAGGGTGCAGCGGGCAATGACCATGTGGTCAAGGCCCTTTGGGAGCAAGTGAATCATACAGAGGCCCAAACAGAACAGCATCAAGAGAATGGTGCAGCGGGCAATGACCATGTGGTCAAGGCCCTTTAGGAACAAGTGAATCATACAGAGGCCCAAACAGAACAGCATCAAGAGAATGGTGCAGCGGGCAAGGACCAGAGGATCTGGCTGACACTCTACACTCACAGGAAAGAAAGATGGGCATATAATCAGACAACAAATGGCACTGATAGTATCAGCACTGGAACTCTTCACTGGCTGCTGAAGATGAGGACAAGGCACTTGTGGGAATGTGTCAGCTTTCAGCTTACTCATTAATTTTTTATAATTTTGGAAATATTTGAGAAAATATTTAATCAAACTCAAACCAGCTATCATTAAGTAACGTTTCACAGAACAACATCAAACAAATCAAAATCAATCAGAATGACAACAGCCTGACATGTCATGTAATATTCAATACTGTCAACTAACTGTGAAGATTGCTCCCTACTAATACTAATTAGTATTTTCACTCAGTACTGTGTCACAGTTAGTTAGTCTTTTCTCTTGGGCCAAGGGTGGCACATAGAGCAGAGGTCATAGCTCTCCCTGTCTAGCGATTCGTCACCACCTGCTTTAGGTTCTGGGTGTTTGTTAGGCCCATGGTTGAGCCTTCCCTGATGATGGTTTAATGTGGTCTCTCTTGGTCTCCACTGTTTTATTTTCCCTTCTAGGTGTCCATAGGAGTATAAGGGCTTAATGGGAAAGTCTTGTCTTATCCATTCTGTGAATGGCCGATGAAGTTTCAGCAGCGCTTTTGGCTCTCCTCCGAACTTTGTCCTAATATTATGGCAGCCATAAAATATCCTTACGGGGCTCAGTTCTATTAAAAATATGCTGGCTCCGTATAACGAAACAAATGCTCTAACAGGGTCTCAGCGATATGTTTTTTGCGGACCTGTTTCTGTGACTGTGCCTCAATGCAGACTGTATCCCCTGCGCTGCTGTGTGTTTCACGGATGGGGGCTAAACTAGATGGCTGGGACTCACGAGCAGCAGCTACCGCATCTCCTGCAACTTCCTCCAATTAATTTGCTCATGAGTCCCAGGCACCTAGTTTAGCCCCCCATCCGCACCGCGCGTAGCTTGGAGGTGAGTTTAATCGCGTTTTGCGCATGCCAAAAAGTGTGAGGATACAGGTTGGCAGGTCTGTCATCTACTGCTGCTAAATCCTCCATCGGAAGAACAGTATTGCTATTCTGCATGGGAGCGCATGGTCTACCCGCCATATCGCTTTCATCGTCTGTAATGTCACGAAATTGTCAATAGTCGCTATTATCGTCTGCTAGTATCGTCTGCAGAAACGCTCGAAATTGTCAACGGTCGCTTTTATCGTCTGCAATGTTGCGTCTCTTAAAATTGTCAAGTAATCCTTGTTTTGCCACGATTTGTTCCTTGCAGAAAGGCTGCATTTTACATATGCCTGAGCCCCGTAAGGATATTTTATGGCCGCCATAATATTATGACGAAGTTCGGAGGAAAGCCGCGCTTTTTTTAAATAAAACTGGATACATTGTCTTGCTTGGTCTCTTGTCTTATTCTTTTTTGCATATTGAATCTGTCCAGAGGGGATTTAATATTCTTCTAAAACATTTGTTCTCAAAAGTGTCTACTTTTTAAATCTACAGCTACTGTTGCTTTTCAACTCTCGCATCCAGTGGGATTCCCTGTAATTATGAATACTATTCTCTTCCAGTTTTTGAGTTTTAGGTTCATTAATTTCAATTTTCTAAGCACAGCCAGAATACATCTGTATAACAGTATTAATTTATTAATAATGTAATGTAATCATATATATATATAATAACGAAGTTTCAAGTTCTCAAAAAAATAAGACTGAAATCGCATTTCCATCGGGCGAGCCTAATTTAATTTGCAATTTAACTTAAAACAAAACCACCTTAACGACCGATGTCACAATCATCACATCACAAAAGAGTAGACAATTAAATAAGACCAGTTAAGTTTAATACAAACACGCAGTAGTTTGTCTGTAATTTACCTCAATATTTGTTGCTGGATAATATAAAAATTGGCAGTTCTCCTAAAGCAATAAAGTTACAATAACTATGATACAGTCTATGTCACCAAAATAACTCCTGTTTTTGCTGAGATGATGAACCTATCGCCAGCCATGATTAATGACGAGTTCCTGTTGGCCGAGTGCTCTTTGAAGATGTCTGCCAAAGCTACAGAACTGATTTGATTGCTCATTGAACTAAAATGTATATTCCAGCCGTGGACCACAATTAAAAGAAACATTTGCATCCCTAAGGATCTGAACATCAAGGAAGATAAGATCGTAAACATCATCTTGTCTCGGAAAATGAAATATTTTGGTCATATGAAACATCACAGTAGTAGTAATTTTTTTCCCACATATATCCTGTTCAGTCCTTAGTGAATTGGAGAGAACAGTAACGGATAAGAGGGGCAGGAGCCAACCACCACGAAGACGGATACAGAACATTCATTAGGCATAAAAGTGAATGAGGCGGAAAAGCTGACGAGAAACCTAATTTCTTTCAGACGGGCTGTGACGTGAGCGACGTTAAGTAGATAACCTGCTACAGAATGGTGAAGATGACTTAGTGAATACGAGGCTTTAAAGACTTCTTTTTTTATTCTACTGCTTATGCCATGGAAAGTGACAGTGCGGAGTTATGTATATGTTCCTGTCTTTTGCTAGTTACGTAGCTTGTGTTGATGTCATATTGCGTTTTTGTAGTCTCTTTTACTCCATCCACGCGTCTATTTCTTGGATGGCCTCTAGAATTGTTGCCTGCTGTTCTCATGTGCAACTTCAGCGGCTGGCTGATTTTATTTCATTCTGGCCAGGTGACCAAACCATTTCTTTGTTCAATGTTTTATAAAATCATGTGCTGTACTGTGTCTAACTGGTTCTTCATTGGCGATACTTACTATTCTTGTTTTTCCCGTTGCCTTTTTATCTATTTTCACATGTAATTTTGCATTTATATCATTACAGGACTGTCCATGTCTCACATTGATAGCACATTGTTGGTACGCTTAGCAGATTTATCAGCTGTCTTTTTGTATGTATGTTGATATTTTGAGTCTCAAATGTGGTGCTGTTTAGTAATTTCTGTTATTAACCTTCTGTTTTCTTTCCAGTCATCCATCCTCAGTGATTACGTTGTTTAGGTACATAAACTACTTAGCTTGTTTTAATGTCTCTCCTTCAACAGTGATCATATGTTGAACTAGTCATTATTTACTATCATATTTCTGTGTGTGTGTGTGTGTGGTGTTTTTTTTTCCTTCTTCGTCACTGTTGGTCCGAGGGACGTAATTGTGTGTTTACAGCACAGACACGATCTTTCCACCTTTCAGCTGACACATCCAACTTTATCGGGCATTTTCACGGTATTAGCCTTCCTGGTGGTGTCGTGAGACATGACGTAGCCTTATTTATGTGGTGTCCTCGTTGTCCCCTTATCTACATACAAGTGTGTTTGTTGTTCGCTCACCACGAGTGATGAAGACCACTTTTCTTTCAAAGAAGTCATGATCGATGATTATGAGTACGGAGGTGGCTGGTTAGTCCAATTTGAGCGTGGGAAGTTCTTGAGCAGGGCGGAAAACAGGTGGAAGCCCCAGTAAGTGTGGGATTAGCGATACGGTTCTTTCTAGTCTGCCTCCGTTTCTCTGTCTGTGCTACCTCCGCAGCCTGGCAGCCTGATGTACCATGCATGAAGGATGTACACCATCCAGAACGGTCCTGTGCAGCAGCCTCCCATGTCGCTGTGTTGATGCAAAAAGAATGCTGCCGCTTGAGATCCATCTAGGGAAATCTCATGTAGATTGGTCAGCCCTCAAGAGAAAGCAGGGGCGGTTCGTGGTCATTCACCGCCATTAGAGGTTGGCTTCCATAAATGCGGAGCCGACATATGATGCTCTGATCCTGGACTCACCCAAAAAATCATCATGTCACCTGCTTGATTGCATAACCTCACATCCGTATGTTGGTTCCCCACTCATCCCTGGATGCACACTTCGGAGATCTACAGTGAAGCAACTGTTAGTTCCAGGATTTCGATGACCACATACATGGGTACAATCTTCTTCTGCACGTTTATCTAAAATCTAGGAATACGCTAGAGAATAGACCATACACTTTTAGTTATATATCCATTTACTAAATTTATTTTTAAAGTTTTGACTGTTTGTCCACTTCTGGACTGTAGTCCTGTTCAAGAACCCGAGTGTTACGCGCGCATCCGATTTACA